TAACGAACAAACAATTGTGCCGAGTTTGGTGTCATTGTCATACAAAAAGAGAGGTCACTGAGATCAACCTTGAAGTAAAAAATGTCGCGAGATTACTAGTTTCAGTTCCACAGTTATAAAAGAAAGTTGTTTTGGTCCTAATGCCTTCATCCGTGTAAAATTTGTTTTATTGTTTTTAAACCAATGAAACTTATTATAAGTGAAGAAGAGTTACAGAATTCATCAAATGATGAAACTATAAAGCAGAGCTGGGCAGTAGCTAGCTACCAAGTAGTTAAGCTACTAACTTAGCAACTTTTTTGGTAGCTAATAACTTATTCAAGCTACTTTGAAAAAAAAGTAGCTTGTAGCTGTAGCTTTTGGTAATGTGTTCCATGTATTCATAAGCTACTGTGAAAAGTAGCTAGCTACTAAAACAAGCTACTTAAACTACTTTTGGTAGATAGTTAATAGTTATTTAGGTATAAATGGCGGAAAGTGTCATTTACCACCCGAGAGAGTGGTTAACGACACTTAACGCCCAAAATACTTATTACGTTTTATGCACAGTGGACTCTTCTAGCTCAAAAATGAAATAACTATACCTATAATATAATGTATAATGGCATCCATTCGACATTGTTTTCAAAAATAAACAGTCTTTCCGCACGTTTCCACTAAAAAATTAGCAACTTCTGGATTTGTAAATCTTCCAAAAATCAATAGATTTTATATTTTCCATGGTTATCCACACCGATTTTGGTAATAATATGTGTAGGTATAGTTCTTGGATGAATATAATAAATAATTCTAGCTGATTTATCTTCTAAAAGAGATGGTAAGATCAACTTATCGCTCGCAAACGCGGGCGGTAAATTGAATATACCGCTCGATAAAAGTAACTTTATTCTTTAATTGCTCAAGCTACAATCATCATTTTCCGGAAAAATCTTATCCTGCCTTGCTTAGACTAGTTTCTACTTATCTCTGTAGCTATGTTTTATGTGTCCTGTTTTATACTCGCATTCACAGATCACTGTGATCAAAGTGAACCTAATAAATTAATGTTCAGTGGTTTTTGACAGAAATATGAATACTACTTCCTAGGGAAAGTTAAAATGTTATTTTCCTATGATGATATTATGAAATTAAATAGGGTCTTTTTCTATTATAAAACGTGCTCATCAGCTATACTTACGGCAATGACATGGATTGTCATATATGCCAAGAAATTTATTGTAGAGAAAAGACTGATTGACCCAAAATAGCGAAAAATGAAAAGACCTGTCAGTCGGGTGTCCCACTTTTTATGCTCACTGTACAGGGTGGTCCAAATTGGACACTTTCTTATGGAAACCACCCTTTATTTTTAGAGATAGAAAAAAATGAACCTCCACTCTGGGGCTCAAATTTCATTAAATCTTGATTGGTGCAAACCGCATTTTGATATCTTCAACCGTTTAGCCGCTAGAGGGCGATTCTCGATTTTGGGAAATACTGTGAAACCTTCATAATTTTTTTGTTTATGAAAATAATTGGTTTCTGTAAAGACTTCCTAAAAGTACTTTTTTAAGCAGAATTCAGTGACGTTCTCAGTTTTTCTTTAATTGATTCCGATGTCGAGATAATGACCTAGATCCGATTTTTTTCAATAGAACACCCTATATATTAATAGCTTATTAAATTGGAAAGCTCTGCTTTTGCTGATTTCAATGATATAAGGTTTGATGGGTTTATCTGTAACAGTTTTCGAGAAAAAAAATTATTTCTGTTTTTGCCATAAGAAACAATGTGTAGAAAGAGACCTTTCTCGTTTTCCTTACAGATATAAAGTCCTATTCCAACCCATTGTTTCTTCTGACAAAAATCGAAATAATTTTTTTCTCGGAAACCGTTGGAGATAAACCTCTCAGAGCTTTTCCATGAGCTAATAATATATAGGATGTCCTATTGAAAAAAATTGGATTTTGGTCAATATCTCGGAATCGGAGCCAAATAGAAAAAAGTCGAGAATGTCACTGAATTCCGATTAAAAAAGTGCTGCCTCTAGAAAGTCTTTACACAATGAATGAATTATTTTCATAAACAAAAAAGTTATGAAGGTTTCACAGTATTGCTCAAAATCCAGAATCGCCCTCTAGTGGCTAAACGGTGAAGATATCAGAATGCGATTTGCACCAATCAGAATTTCATGAAATTTGAGCATCAGAGTGGGGGGTAAATTTTTTTGTACCTCGCTCAGAAATTGACGTTTCCTATTAAAAGTGTCCAAATTAGCCCACCCTGTACATTGATGGTGGCGATTGTGCACGTTTTTTTGTTTTTATTAATTTAACTTTCAGAAAAGTAACTTAAATAGTAGCTTTCACTAATTCAATATGTAGTTAAGCTACCAATAGCTTAGCTTCTTTTTTAAAGAGGTAGTTGAGCTACTGAGTAACTTAGCTACTTACAATATAAAGTAGCTTGTAACTTGTAGCTAGCTACTTCTTCCAAGTAGCTTGCCCAGCTCTGCTATAAAGGTCAAATGAAACGAGAAGAACAGTTCTCCGAAGAATATACCTACCAGGTTCAAGATCAAATTAATCAACATTTGGAGATACCAGATCGAACAGATACAAGTCTGGAAATGGCAGCTCCGACAGAAAATGTTCTCAGTTGCTGAAGAAATAAGCGAACCAGAGGAGCCCTAAGCTAGAAAGATGCTATTACGTGCAATGACAAAGACAATTGGATTTTGGCAAAGGATAAAGAAATACAGTCACTACAAGAAAATTGTTCTTGGGAGATTGAGAGGTTACCACCAGGAAAGAAGGCAATACCAAGTAAGTGGGTGTATAAAGTGAGGACCAATCCAGATGGATCCATTGACAAGTACACAGCTCGGCTAGTTATCAAAGGTTATTGACAAAGAAAAGGTGAAGAATACGAACAGACTTACAGTCCTGTAGCCAAGGGAGGAACAATTAGGTCACTGCTCAGTGTTGCTGATAGCAAGAATATGGCGCTCACTCAGTTCGACGTATGTACTGCATTTCACTATTGAAAACTAAATGAATAAGTCTATATGAGGAAAATCAAACCAGTATACTTCGAGCAAATATATTTATAGCTGCTCGAAGTACACTGGTTTGATTTTCCTGATTCTTCGACGACCAACACAGCCACTCACTCGACTTTAAAGCTTAGGTCTATATAAAGCAACCAGAGGGGTATGAAGATGGAAGTAACATAGTCTGTAAACTTCAGCGCAATCTTTATGGACTAAAACAAGCACCTAGATGTTGGAATCAAATATTTACCGATTGAATAGAAGTTGTTTGGTTTTAGAAGATCAGATACCGATTCTTGTTTCTTTATAAAGCAAGTTGAAGAAGACAAACTTCGACTAACATTATATGTAGATGATGGACTCTTGGCGTCAACCAACGGCAAATTAAAGGATTCCTTCATGGAAAGTTTACAAAGAGAATCTCAGATTACCATTAAACCATCAGCTTCTTATTTTTTGGGTTTAGAAATTGGAGGAACTAAAAATGGTGCAGTAGAAGTAAGCCAAAGCCAATATAGCTCTCAAGCATAGAAATAAGAGCGATTCATCGGCCCAAGGTCTACCAAATTGCTGACGAATTAGAACTTGACTTGGCTCAAGTATAGGGGATAATAAATGTCACAAACCAAACTCTCAAAAACCTTGGAAATTGCGCACTCAAGATGCTTATAGGATAACGATAAATTTGTTACAGATGACCTACTGTTGTATTGCCTGACTTAAAAATTGGCTTCGAAAAACTATCCAATAATCCGGGAAACTTCCAGTTTGGAGAGAGAGATTGGAGGCATGATAAGGAGGTCTAAAAAGACTAAAGCAGAAATTCCTAAGGAATATTGGTACTCCATCTGGTATTCGACCCTTGTTAATGTTTATAGATGAAAGTTTGGTAGGTATAGATATCTGAAATTCTGAGATACAAGTCGGGGTGATATTAACAATGGAGGAAAATATCTCGTGGTTAGGTGCATTAAGGTGAGCGTATGAGAGAGAGACTGCGGAAAAATAGTCAGCAAACATGTTAGCAATATCCTTGCCAGAGAGAGCTATTCGACCGACCCAGAGCCGAATTCTAAAGAAAAACCTGTAATTTTTTTTCACTGTTAACAAAGAACCAACTTTTTTTAACAATAAGTAGTGCTGATCACCATTTTAGTTTGATATATGTAATTTTGATAAGATTCCTGTAGGAAGGTTGGCATGTCATTGATTATTACATGGTGTGTCATACATATGGATAGGGCGGGAACTTGCTGCTGGTCTTGTCAGCATTCTTGTCATTCTAGTCTAGTCTAGTCAAATCTTGTCTTATCTTGAAGCTCCATTCTTTCATTAATAAAGTTTATTTAAATTATATAATTATGGTTAAATTAATAAATTATGAACAACCATAATTAACAATTTCTGTGTCAAATGTTTTCAAAAACGCCTCATGCAGTCTACCAACCTCCGATAATTCATGATTGATTGAGTTACTCATCATTTAATTGAGTAGTTTTGAATTTTTTGTGGGCGACTTTTTTCTGAATGCGACTAGTACCGTTGGTAACCGTGTTATAAACGGTACCTAACTGAAAATATGATGTTATGATGTACTTTTAGTTACCGTTTATAACACGGTTACAAACGGTTAGTCGCTAAAAAATCCTTTATCAAATAGCAATATAAATTAATTGAAATCATGCAAGACTTTTTTTTGAACAAGTCTTTATTTCTCAAAAATACACATGTAGGTATTCCTTTCAAGAGTTTGGAACACTCGAGCTACTCGCTCCGGTGTTTGTCGATATGTTTTTGATGGATAGGACATAGGACTTTGAGTATTTAAAAACCATGTTGCCACAAAACGACAAAACACTATCGGACAAGGTTCTAGGGAGTAACCAGTCTGTTCTGGGGCGTGTTCATCTAGTTAGCCAGCCGAACGAAAACGCCTGCACTGTTTTGAATGCGTGTGCAAATTTTGTGCTACTGGCTGTTCGGGAACTCAACCCCGCATACTCGAAATCAGCTGTAGTGCACGTCGAACCACTTCTGTTCCGCTACTTACGTTTGCGTAGTTTGGTGTGTACGCGGCTGCTGTGGAACTCCCAAATCGTTATCATCCAGAGAATCTGTAATCTGTGAACTGTGAATCTTTTTCAGTTTGGAGCAAAAAAACATCCGGGCTCGTCAGATTAAAATTAATCCCTCAGTTTATGAATTTAAGAACCATCATTAGTAAACCCAATAAATAGGCTTACCATAGTGCAATGGCTGTTCCTACTAGGATATTCAAAATTATTGGTGAGCTCCTGGATTCATTGAATCCCCTTACATAATGTGCAAGACAATTTTTTTGCTAGTTAAAATAGAACATTGGACCTTGAAAACAATTTTTGAGTAATTACATTCTTTGAATACCTATTTCCTGAAGTCCATTTTGTATAGAAATTATATCTATTGGATTTAAAGCAAATTGATTTTTCTAACCTTATTTTGGATCAAAGTTCACTTGTGATATTTAGCTGCTTGCTCTTTACTCTTTGATACTTTGATGGATAATGGATACCTACCTAAAAACTATTGTACTGTACTAGCTATTTTTATCATTTGTACTTTGGAATGTTTTGTTATATCTTGGATATAGGTATCCATAGTAGGGAAGTTGCGTAGGGTTTTGAACATAATCCTTTGACAAAATATTTATTTAAATACCATCAAGAGGTCCCAACCTCTTACAGAGTAGAATCAAAATCTGTTTAATGATGCTAAAAAGAAGAAAAAAAAAAAGAAATTCAGTAAGACAAACATTTTTTGGAGGTCATTATCAGAATTGTTTACGGCCTATAATATTACTAACAGCAAGAGGACACTAACAATGAAACCCTAGTATTGAAGTTGCAATGCGAGTTGAAATGTAGAAGTTTTAACTGAGGTTTTAACATATCTGGCATATTTATTCAAATGGATAGGTACAATGAAAACCCTTAATCAAGTTCATAACCCAAACTTAAAAATGGACCAGCCAGTCTCATTAACAATAATAAACATTCTGAATAATTATAGTGATAAATACTTCAAAAAAATATATCTATAATCAGACAACAAAACATAATATCCAGCGTTGCCAGATGTCAAATTTAAAATTATCAGGATTTGAGAAAAAAATTAACAGATTCCAAGAAAAATTACCAGAAAAAGTTTCTGTCAACTTTTTTGACTTTTTATCTCTATTTTTATTTTTCTGGTTCTAGCTGGGACTTTGGGACTAGTGTTTGGTGCTTGCACCAGCACATCAAAACACTCAAAACCAACAACAACCTCCAATTAATTTTTAATTTTTATCGAAAAATTTATATTAAAATTGTAGTTTCAATAAATTATGGTAGATTAGCTCGTCATTATCGATTATTGAATCGTAGTCAAAATTATGGTAGAATTCGATAATTATCGGGTCATTGGCAACACTGATAATATCTAAAATAACTAAACACCCTGTTGTGTTCTGTTTTATGGCAATTGGCACACTCTTTCAACATCCCTCATATTAAATCAAGATTCTAACCAATAAGGCCGGAGTTTCATGCATCCGTTTTCCGACGAAATATGTCCGAAAAATTTTCTCTTTTGACATATTTTTATACGATTATGTCAGAATAGAATGTTTTTCGGACATCTTTCGTCGGAAAAACGGATGCATGAAACTCCAGCTTAAATCTATTTAGTGCAGAGGTGGTACAAATATTTTTTGGGAGTGACTACTGCACTGTCCAGACAGTGTGGATTGAGAACTATCTCTGGTTGGTTCTTATTTGTCTCAGAGAAGTCAGAGTGTTGTCTCTCGGGGTAGCGTTTCCGGTAGCCTAAGTGTTAGCGCCGGCGTTCCGCAAGGGTCTGTTTTGGGGCCATTGTTGTTTTTACTATATGTTAATGATCTTCCTGCAGGTGTGAAGAGTGGTCTATGCACTTCCTTTGCTGATGATACCACAATAGTTTGGCATCATAAAGACACTGTCATGCTGACTGCTATGGTGAACGATGACAGCGAGAATCAAAATGTGGTGTGACTCCAATCGGCTGTCATTTAATATTCAAAAGACATCCATCATGAATTTTAAATGTAATCTTGGTAATGTTTTTCTGGATGATACTATTATAGGCAGAAGCATGGAGACCAAATATCTTGGCTTGATTGTTGATGATCAGCTCAGGTTTGACAAACACAGTGAGCATTTATGTAAAAAAATATCATCAGCTGCATGCTTTGCTGTTAGAACTGTCAAGGCTGAGCTGGGCGAATCGGTTGCTAGACGGGTGTATTTTTCTTTGATCGAGTCACATCTTAGTTATGGCATTTGCTTCTGGGGCTCTTGCTCATTAACATTGTTGAACATCATATTTGTTCTCCAGAAGCGTGCTATAAGGTCGTTATGTGGTCTTAGTCCACGGAACTCTTGCAGACCATTCTTTATAGACAGACGTATTTTAACCTTGCCTTGTATCTTGATTTTAGAATTGGTGTGTCTCATGCGGAAGAAGTACTCTTCTAATATTCATGCTCCCTCCTTGGTCAATACCAGAAGTTCACATGTAATTGATCTACCAATTCCCACATCCTCGCTAACTCAAAAATCTATTCACTATAGGAGTAAGAAAATGTTTAATCACCTACCTCATAGCATAAGAACAATAAAGGAGAGTAGATGATTCAAGAGACAAGTCAAAAAATTACTTTTGGCTAAGGGTTTTTACTCTGTAGAGGAATACTTCTCATCTCCTCTCCTCTCTGGTAAGTTAATATCCTATGCTGACGATACGGTTATTATCTTTACTGGTAAGATATGGGAGGAGACAAAAGGGAGGGTGTCGAGGGGTTTTGGTATTATCAAAAAGTGGCTTGACTCATTCAAATTGTCGCTCAATTTATCCAAAACTAATTACATAGCCTTTTTTGTGACAGGCGCAAATAGACCAAATTTTATTGAAATTCAGACAAGCAAGGAGAAGAACAGTCATATATCAGCAGTGAAGAAAGCTAAATATTTAGGTATAGTTGTTGATCAGCATTTAAAATGGGTAGACCATATATCTTACCTTACAAATAAATGCCGCTTCTTGATTCATAAATTTTATATTTTAAGACAATTTCTCGGTACTAGAATGATCATATTGGTGTACAAATCTCTGGTAGAATCATTGTTGCGATATGGCCTTATAGTATGGGGGGGAACATATAAAAGTAATTTGCAACCTCTAAATGTAATACAAAATTCCATCTTAAAAATAATGTTCAGAAAAGAAAGGCGCTACTCAACTAAATCACTATATGACAACGACATTTGCAACATAAACTGCTTATACATACATTCCATTTGTACATATCGTCGCCCTAGTTGTGAATGGTCGTAATCCACTCAAGGTAAATTGTGAGTAAACTGCATTTAAAATTTTTGTTTTTGGTGAAAATATGCTTTTTAATTAGCAAATATACTATAACAAGGTCAAATATGGATCACTGGCTTAGATCTATTCACCAACATAAAATTTAAACATTTTTAAGTATGTTAACAGCAAGGTTAACCGTCACAACTCAAGAATGAACATTGTGTGGATTACGACCATTCACAACTAGGGCGACGATATATACATAGAAAAGAAACCCTAAAAAAATTCGTACACCATCATCAAACCAGAGCTAATGTTAATAGACACCTAATAATACCTCAAAATAGAAAAACTATAAATTTAAAATTTGCCAATTACTTAGCGCCAAAATTTTATAATATGATACCAAAGAAAATGAAAGAAATAGGTAGGATAAAAATGTTTAGTGAGAAGAGCAAAGTATTTATTGTAGATAATTATGAATCATTTTCTAAACTTATGTCATAGGATAAAAAAAAAAAAGGATTAAGTTGCCGTAAACAAATAATATTGTACTTTAACAAACCCATACAAAATATAATGTCCTCTAAGATAAACCTTTATTGTAAGAACAGGTTGTGTTTATTACTATATTATAAATAGTTAAGAATATACTTGGTGCATACAGAGGTATTAAACCTCTAGGTGCCAACAAAATAATTTTTAAATACAAAATACATGTATTGTGAAAGAAAAAAATTTATTGTAAAAAAATATTCAAACCTGAATAAAGATTATTATTATTATTATTATTATTATCCTCTGTTTAATGGTCAATAATTTTAAGTTTGTTGTTAATTTTATTGTTGAGCAGTCTTTCGATCTATTTTATCCAGTTGTTTTTATTCCTATTTTATTCCTGTTTATTATCTTTATTTTTACGAACCTACTTTGTTGATGATTTTAATTTTAATTATATTATATTTGGAAGCTTTGTTATCAAGATTTGTATCTTTAAACAATAAAGCATGTTTTGATTTGATTTGATTTGATATCTGCACACAGTGGCGACTAAAAATCTATCAGCACTGTCTAGACAGTGCCAACTGAAATTTATCTGTGCACTGTCCAGACAGTGCCGAGTGCCGACTAAAAACCATCTGCACTGTCCACATAATTTCATTATCATATCATATAAAGTTATAGTTACAATTACATTCCAAATAGCTTGCATTCCTTGCTGGGATTCTGTATTATTAGATATTTTTGTATCAAGTGCGTAAAATGCTCGGCAAAATGAGTGTTTTTTAATGGTGCCTGAGAGTGTCAATTTTTACAGGTGAGGTAGAGGCCAAAAATTCATTTGAAGGTGCCCATAAACAAAAATGTCCCATACAAAATACAAATTACATTTTTCCTACGAGCGTGCGCTAAGTAGTACTTTTCCGCACTCATTTCCGTGCTCAAGGTTATACTTTTCCGCACTCTGTGAAAGGTACTACTTTGCGCATGCTCGTAGGAAAAATGTTGATTGTATTTCGTATGTGATTTTTGTGTCTTCGAATAAATTTTTGGCCTAGACCTGACCTGTGAAAATTGACATCTCAAAAACTCATTTTGCGCACTTAATATAAAAATAGCTAATAATACACTGAATCCCAGCAAGGAATACAAGCAATTTTGAATATACCTATAACTTTATATGATACGATAATGAAATTATCTTGACAGTGCAGATGATTTTTAGTCGGCACTGTCTGGACAGTGCAGACAGATTTTAGTCGGCACTGTCTAGACAGTGCTGATAGATTTTAGGTGGCACTGTCTGCTCAGTGCAGATAGTTTTCAGCAACCACTGTCTGGACAGTGCAGTAGTCACTTCCATATTTTTTTCCTTTAACAGTTTATTAAAACTACATATGAGGACTATGATATTCACCACTGATTTATCATTTATCAATCTGAGACGATTTTGACATAACATTGTAGAGAAAAGACTGATTTACCCAAAATACCAAAAAATGACAAGATCTGTCAGTCCAGTGTCCCAGTTTCAATGCTCACGGCTCACGACTGTACCCACTTATAAATTGAGGCTTGAGGGGATCGTTTTTTTTTTCTTCAGAATTCTCCTTGTCTTCCCTGTATCTGTTTTTTGGGCTATTTCACCCTAAGAAGCGACGTTTTGAAAAAAGTCAAAAAAGATTGATAGACACTAATAGTTTTAGTCCTTGAGAACAATTTGGAAGAATTAAGTTGTATGATTTTTTTCCTTCAATTTTTCCAATTTCTTCCTTCAATTTTTCCAGTTTCTTCAGATGAATTGGACATAACCAATTTTTACAGTTGTGTAATTCAGTTAATTTATCGAAAGTTGCATTTGTTGCATTGTGATTACTGGGAGCATATCATTTAGTAGTTATCCTAGTGGTATATACGTGTTAATTGATTCAAACGTTTTTTTTTTATCTTACTTTATTTTTTTTAATAATACCAATTCTTTTATAGGAGATGGCATCAAATTTGGCCAGTCCATCCGTTTCAACAGCTACGATTCGACAAGATGGAATCTAAAACTAAACGCCAACTCTAAAGTAATTTGTCAAGGATTCACAGGAAAACAGGGAACTTTTCATAGCAAACAAGCTATAGAATATGGAACTAAGGTTGTCGGTGGAGTATCTCCCGGCAAAGGTGGGAAAACCCATTTAGATTTACCCGTTTTTAACACAGTGAAGGAGGTGCGTATTAATGTCTAAGAGTTGTTTATTGTATACGAGTGAATTATATTTATTTAGGCACGCGACGCCACTGGAGCAGACGCTACAGTAATCTATGTGCCTCCTCCAGGTGCAGCTGCCGCCATTAACGAAGCTATTGATGCTGAAGTGCCACTTATTGTGTGCATCACTGAAGGTATATTTAGCAAAACAACTGTGTTATAATATATAGTTATTATTTTTCTTATCAGGTATTCCTCAACATGACATGGTCAGGGTCAAACATAAGCTCTTAAGGCAAAACAAAACTCGTCTCATAGGTCCCAATTGTCCTGGTATCATTGCTCCAGAACAATGTAAAATTGGTATTATGCCTGGACATATTCATCAGAAAGGTGTTGTTGGCGTTGTCTCTAGATCTGGTACATTGACCTATGAAGCTGTTCACCAAACTACACAAGTCGGTTTGGGTCAAACTTTGTGTGTCGGTATTGGAGGTGATCCATTTAATGGGACTGACTTTATTGACTGTTTGGAAGTATTTTTGAAAGATCCTGAAACTAAAGGAATTATTTTGATTGGTGAAATTGGTGGGGTTGCTGAAGAACAAGCTGCTGACTATTTGACTCAACATAATTCAGTAAGTTATACGATAATTAATTATTAGCAATAGAGAATCTTTAATATTTTTTAATAATAGGGTCCAAATGCCAAGCCAGTTGTATCATTCATTGCTGGAATATCAGCTCCTCCTGGTCGTAGAATGGGTCATGCTGGAGCTATCATCTCAGGCGGAAAAGGTGGTGCTCAAGATAAAATCAACGCATTAGAAAAAGCTGGTGTTATAGTCACTAGGTAAGTAAATAAATCATGAATCTTAATTGTATGTTACCTAACAAAAAATAATTTTGTTTTTTATAACTTCTTCACTTGTTAGTGTTTGTTGTTTAATTTCTCAATGTTTCCTTATAGGTCACCAGCCCAGATGGGTACAGAATTATTAAAGGAAATGCGTCGTTTAAATTTGGCTTAAGATATTAACTAGTTATTGTTACTGTAAATAATAAATAAATTTAAACTGTCATTATTCAAAATTATTCCAATCTAATAACTATTTGGTGTTTTCATCATATATGTCTGTATGTACCAGTAGACAACACTTAGTGTTTTAGTTCACTCCAAAAATTTCCTGTGTTTAAGTTTAATAATGCTATTGCTTCTATTAGGCTCCATTAAAAAAAAATATTAAAGACACAACAAAATGGCCTTATTGTAATTTTCTTCTCCTTTTTATAGAATTTTTGGTTGTTTTTTTTTTTGTGTTAAGCATCCAAAGTTTACTATCCATTGTTAATAGATTAGCATTATATCCTTAAGTAGAATGTTAAATGTTATTGGGATTTCGCCATGTAGTAGCATTATTAAGTGCCTGGAAAGCTATAAGTTAATTATTAAATAATTCACTGTGATCATTGTGTGAAATTTTAAAACTAACATACTTTATTTTATTAAATTTTGTTGTGTAAAATGACCCAAATTTAAAAAATAGCATCCATTTATTTTTTCAGTAAAAAAAAACTAATCCTAATTTTGTCGCGCACGCTGTATTTATTTTTTGTTGAATATACCTATAATTTTTCTTCTTAGTGTGTTTTTTGTTTTCTGAGCCACATTGTACAAATTTATAAATTTTCACATTCATCACAATAATAATCGAACACAGTGTCACGCCAATAGATCACAATAAGCAGCAACGTCCCTATCCAGAAACTCCCTATAACGATAAAAAAAACTCTGCTTAACAGATATTTTCTAACTGCGAAAATCCCGTACATAAATTACATATGAAGATACGTTCGGGCATTGTGTTCTAAAATATATTTATTTCAAGTGCATAAATTCACTGGCCATAATATATGTACAAATTTCGGTATAGTATTGCGACAGTAATTTCTCAATAGCTCACAATGCCTGGCAATAGAATGCAATACCTTGCAATAGTGCACAATACTTTGCAGTAGTCTACAATAATTCGCAATGTTCCACAATACTATTGCAATTATCTACAATACTCTCACAATAGCCTGCAATACTCTCACAATAGTCTACAATATGCTTGCAATAGTTGACAATATCATTACAATAATCGAAAATACTATCACAATAGCTTGCAATAGGTTTGCAGTAGTTCTTCACTTTAATTTTTATACTCTTGTCGATGAAAATCCTTGAAATTATCCTCGAAATTATCTCTAAGATTGTTGTGTTTTAGTGTGTGGTTTTCTTATATTTGATAAGTTATATGGAATATTTTTGCAGTAGCATGCTATATATTTAATTTTTGCATTGGGAAACAAATGCACTTGGCATGCGCATTATTCAACTATCTCTATACCAAAAGCTATACATCAGTGTCTATCACTCGTTGGGTATAAATTTGAATACGGATTTCAATTTTTGTTGCACTTTATTATAACTTTAACTTACGAGTGTAGGAAAATGGAATAACTGTAAAATATAAGGGCGGGATTGTCTTTTCCTCTGGGCCGTTATTCTTGAAACAGGGGAGCAGCGTTTCCAGGAGAATGAGTGTTCAGTCTTTGTTATACTTATATTATCATTCGCATATCATTAAGAAAGACGGAACACTCATTCTCCTGTGAACGTTGCTTCCCTGTTTCAAGAATGAGGACCCTGTTCTATCGCTTCTTTCTACCGTCCCTCTTTCTGATCTCGTGTTTGCCTCGCTGTTCTTCAGATGTTAGAAATAGACAATATCCAAGATTATACAGTTAACTCTTTTGATGGACATACTATCCCATAAACAATAATTAACTCTGAACTTGACGTCAATTTCAACAAAGATGAACTCAATTCGACTGACTCATCTGAGGCTATTCAAGAAGAAACTGATAATGACGTCGAGATGGCAGACAAAGAACCAGAGGAGCTCAACTCTCTTAAAAATTATATGAACAGGGTAGCTTTTAATGTTAAAGATTACAATGCTTAGGTAACAGATATGAACAATAGAAGGTTTTTAAAAATACATTTAAAAAACAGAAAGTCAAAGGCAGTAAGAAAGTTAACTCTATGTTGTGTTTTTGCTGAGAAAACAGACAACTCTGATATTCACACAAGTGAAAATTTATTCGAAAATTAAAGCTCCATTATGTAGGAGTAATAAATGATGATGGGCAATAGGTTGCAAATAGTCCACAATACTCTCACAATACTCTGCAATACCTGAGTATTGCACAATATATGTACAAAAAAGCCAGTGAAATGCCCCTCGCTCCCAATATCAGAAAATGCCAATTTTGAACACAGATATTTTAGATACTCAGGTTCACGCGCCTGGTTAAAAGCACCGACAACGAACTATATTTCATCAAAAAACCAAAATATTTTTGGGCCAATGGGTAGCAGAAAACCTGCATCAGGCATTCTTGGATAGACAAAACTGCCACCCGTGTACCAGTGGCGTAATAAGTGATTTTATCAATGCTCGGTCCTTTTGACCGATACGCGTGTAATCCTGAATTAAATTATTAATCAAATAACAAATTTAGACAATTAATTATCATTATTGTTCACTTCCTTAGTCTTTTCTTTCTTACTTTTTTTCTTTTTGGCTGGTAGAGTTCGTTTTTGGTCAATAATTTTTTTGTTGGGTGGTACTATATCAGCTGTCATGGAATTTCTGATATAAATCTCTTCCTTCTTTATTTCTAAAGCATTCAATCTGGATATAATAGGCTGTAAATTAGAGGATAAATAGATAAAGCCAAACACATGTTCAAAATTGATGATGAAATTCAAATAGGGCAATCCAATCCAAATGGCGGTCGATGCCAGACGACAAGCAATGAAATTGACGCCATAAATTTAATTCAAAAAACCCTGACATTGTGTATTTTGTGGTGTTTCAAGGTGATTTTTTAGTGCTTGGAAGGATAATTTACGCATTTCAAAATGGAGAGTTATTATTTTAAGAAGTTAGGTGTGAGTGGACTGGAAAACCCGGATGTTGGCAAAAGGTATGATTTTTCTCGACGAACCTTTACCTACTAAACAATAGGTACTATCCAGGATTTGTTTTCTATTTAGTTTTTTTCTTAACCAAACCCTCAATCCTGTTATTTTATTTGTCTGCTATTCAAAGGTATCGAAATCTAAGGTATCGACACAAGCTGAGGATAGTAAACGGCTTGGATCCATACACCGTTTATGTGGAGAGACTTTTTGGTTTTTTTAATAAGTATGGATTTCGTCAGATTTTCTTCTCTGTTGCTGCAATCGATATGAAGTCCTACAAAGTACAGAGAAATCGTTTTTCTCCGTTAAAAACCTGTATTTTGTCGCGATTGGAACGGCTCCCACAACTAAGTACAATACATAACGTAGGTATTTTTCAAAAAATCAACACGGACTTTACTAGTTTACAGACTTTACACAAATCAAAAATCGCAATAAAACCTAGTGTATAAACAAACACACCTCATAGAGTACCGATACACTTGACATTGGCCGCCATTTTTTACAGGTCGTTGGATTGCCCTGAAGCACAGCTCACGTGACTTTTGACAGGTCCGCCATATTAGCTGAGTGGCAAACAAAGCCTACAGATCATTATTGTTTACGTTTTTTGAGTTTGTGCTTTGGAATTTTTGCGTTTTTTGATTTATTCAATAAATTTTAAGTTGTTTTTAGTTTTTGTGAATGAATGGAATGAATGAATGAATCTTTATTTACAGACATGCGTACATTTCAATTCAACAATAGTAAACCAAGAATTTATTAACAAAAATAATGTTTAAGAATCTAAATTGTTTAAAAAATAAAAAAGTTTGATACTAACAACCTTACAAATAAACTTTAGCAAAATAAATTTGTGGTAGAATGACTCCTCAAACGTTTTGACTGTTCTGATCGGTGCACAGATCTGGCATGTAGCTTAGCTTACTGGCTTGTTCATTCTGGGCTTCTATCAATTATCGTAGTATATCCTAAATTTGTACTGGGGACCCAATCCGGATTGTTTGTATCCTTAAATTCTGCTAGACTACCTAAAAGGTATTAAAAGTTACCTATATACTTGTAGAAACATAAACAACTTTTTTGATGTACCGAGATGAAGTGTTTTCGTATTTTAACAACAAGAGTCATAAAACTTACCATTAACAAAATGTTTCGAACATATTCGAGCATTTTTAACAACGTTACAGGCAAATCTCCCCTATTGAGGCATCTAATTCACATACTCCGTTGTTTTATAAACTTTGACGCCCGCGCCCGCGCTCACGCCCGAGTTCGAGTTCGCGTTGGAAACGATTTATAAACTTTTTGACTGTCGTTTGTTGCTGCAGTGTGATTGGCCCGCGTATTTTGATAACATTTGACATAACCTCAAAATATTTTTCGTATTCATTCTTTTTCTGTTTATTTTATTTTGTGCTCAGAGTCTATGGTTTATTTGATTTATTTTTATTTGAAATAAATTTGAAAAAAAGACTCACAAAATTAACAACAATAGAAAGGTTCAAAATTTTAAAAATTTGGTTGTTGCGCATGCATGTCAAATGACCTGTTTTCATTGGCCAGCAGTGTTGCCACAAGGTCTTTCTTTATTGGGGTAGATTACGGCAAGATAGCGGGGTAGAATAGAATCGGTGCGGGGTAGCAACAAAAATTTCACCCACGAGGGTGCGGAAAGTAGCATTTTACCGCACACTATGCGAGAAAGTTACTTTACCGCACAGTCTGCGAGTCTGTGGTAAAATACACTGCAAAGTGTGCGGTATAGTAACTTCACCACATAGTGTGCGGTAAAGTAGACTGCTTTGCTAATGATATAACTGAAATTTTATGACACATGCGTTTTTGACGCTGTTAGGTAACTAACTTTAATGTTTTTACATATTTTTCTGCATCAATTACCACACAATTCAAAGGAGACACTGAAAGGAATCTCTAAATGAGGTTATATCTTAGGCGTAGACAAAAAACGTTGCTAAATACAGTTCAAATAAATATAAATTGCTTCTCATAATTTGGATTTTTTAAGTATTTTTAATTAGCGATAACCAGAAGCATTCTTTTTGTATTATAGCATATAGATTGTATTTAGAGCGGGGTAGATTTAGTTGAGGGGAGCGGAAGGGCGAGATTGTTTTCAAAGGGGGTAGATCTACCCCGAACGGGGTAGCGAGCGTCGAAGATAAAACTTGGCCATCTCCAGCGCGGACTCGGGCGCGAACTCGAACGCGGGCGCGGGCGTTTGTGTTTATAAATCAAACTTCGTGATCTGCTTCATTTATGTTGAGCGTGAGCGCGGGCGCGAGCGCGAGCGCGGGCGCGGGCGCGGACGTCAGAGTTTATAAATCCAGCTGTTAATGCTGCTGGAATCCTAAAAAACCTCACTTTATCCCTTTCAGCTCTATTGGATCACCCAAAAACGCCACAAAACGAAGGCATCTCCACAAAATAATACTTCAAAAATTCTCGGTTTGCATTGATAATAATATTAAATCAGGTTATGTTTGGCTTTTGTTTGCCCCTCAGCTAAAATGGCAGATCGGCTATGACGTCAACCTGGAATGCCTAATTGCAAAAACCACACAAACATAACCTCGGAAAACAACTGCCAGAAATTTGGCAACACCGCATCAAACGTCAAACCATTGACGAGCGGTGTTGAGGTTTACCTGCTGGTATTTTTTGCCAGTGTATTGTCAGACACTCTTTACCGTTGTGTTACAAACTCAGGTTACAAAGCCCACAAAATTAATAAACGGAAGTATAACTTAAACTAACCTGAATCCGCCTGTTGATGTGTGTATTTTACATTGAAATGGTATATTATTTTAACCCGTGGCAAGCCTGTTTATCTGAACTGTCAAATGTCAAAGCAGTTGTCAATTTTAAATTCAAACTTTTGCGTTTCTAGATACTCGTTAGTTTCCCGACGTTTGTCTTGCCCTGCCGTTTGCACAGTCTTTCTAATTTGTCTACTGTAGCATAAGTTTTCATCTTTGCATAATGAATACAAAACGATACCCAAGCAGCACTCCCATGTTGGGCCAATATTGGGACAATAACTAAGATTTATTGGCCCAAGTAAGATTCTCTATATTGGCGCAATAAAAGATGTGGACATTCTGCAATATTTGTCCAAGAACGTATGTCAATATATACCCAAAAACAAATACCAATGTTGGTACAATAACGTAACCAAATGTTGGCCCAAAAACAAATAATCAATATCATATCAAGAACTTTATGCAATATAGAGCCAATTAAAATTACCAATATTGGCCCGAAGACGTATGTAAATCTTGGCTTTATATTATATTTAATTAAGGTAACGGACCAATTATAAGAGGACCGACTGAGAAGTGTTTTTTCTCTGCCGGACCATCCGTGGACCCGTTTCGCTGTATCACAACTCATCAGCACGGTTAAGTCCCGCCAGGGTCTCGCAGAGAGAAAACAACCAATTTTTGGCTTCATCCCAGAACCAGGTTTAAGACAGGTTAAGTGAAGACAGAGTCTCCATCTATTTTTCGGTCGGCACACCAAGTGCGCAATAGCGCGAAAAAATTAAAATGTCTGACATTGGAAGGAATGTAAAAATATCCGAAATTACCATATACATATTGTATAAATATTAATTCTTAACTCGTGCGGAAAGTCTGTTTTCCTCACTTGATTCCTTGACAGAACTCCGAAAAAACATTGAATACCCTATATTGGACCAACATTTTCAATTCAGAAAATCTAACCTTGGTGAAAATTAGTATGTAAATATTGTCCCTTTATTGGGCTTTTCAAAAAGTATCAATATTGTGAAAAAATTAAAAATAAATATTGGGTGTACAAAGTTTTTAAAGTGAATTTAAATATCAATAAAAAATTGAACGGCAATATTGAATTAATATTATATTATCTACAATATTGTTTCGATAATATAAAATGTAATATTTGGCCAATATTTCATAAATCAATATTGTAGTGAGAAGTCTTGGGCCAATATTACAAATAAAAGTTAATTAATCTATGAAAACAATATTGGTACAAGATTTTTTTAAAATATTGTTTCCACATAGTTAAAACCAACGTTGCCCCAATATTGGTACTGTGTTGATTTAGCAACAAAAATGAATAAATATTGGCCCAACTGAAAAACGATGTTTACCCAATATTATGTGCTACTTGGGTAATTCAAAAAAGTTGTTCCAAAGGACGGCCTAGAGGACAATCGGATAAGTCGTTTAATCGAAATCGTCAAACAACACTGGCCAGAATATCCAATCAAGACGGCAGACATTCGCAATCCTACCAGCAGTTTTGTTCTTAAATTCTACAGGCATTGTGTGGATGAGCTGGAGGCGAGAATTGCTTCTGTTACCAAAACCCAGCACGTACCGAATCCTCCATCATTGTGCGAAGAAGATATTTTATATTTAAAGCTTCGAAGAATTCCTGCACTTGTAAGCTAAAAGATTTTATCGACATATGTATGTTATTATGAATTTTCTCAATACATGGGAAAGTAAAATGCCTGAAATGATCGAAGCTTACGATAGAGCTTTTGATCTTAAGCAAAAACGTCAAAACTTAGAAGAAACATTGACTAAAATCAAAGAAGACAAACTACAAGCTCAAATTGATTTAACCCTCTCCAAGACCGAGCTCGAAAAAGACAAGGAACTGGTAACTGCTCAAGTCCCCAAATATGAAGACACTTTAATCAAATTATTTGAGGCTAAGGAAAAAAAATTGATTTTAGAAGCTGAAAGATTGAGAAATTCCACAAAACTTCGGCAACAGAGAATCCAGTATCTCGAAAAAACTGATAATGCATCGAAAAAAAAAATCATACCAGAAGATGAATGGGAACGTCTAAACGCTCTCCTTCAGTCTCTTGAAAAAAATTACCAAGATCTAAAAGTAGATGAGCAAGTAATGGATCTTTTGGAGAAAAAGAAACATGCCCAGCTACAACAAACTCGCGCTGAAGCAGCCAAACATTTAGTAATTGAAGAAAATATATTTGAACTTTCCAGACAAAGAGAAGACCTTGAAAATCTAACCAGAGAGGTCGAGCAGACTCGAGCGATTCAAGAAAATACTGGAACAGAAATAGCCCAAATGAAAAAGGCATTGGAATTACAAGTGCAGCTCGCGGAAGAAGATATTACACGTACTAGGTAAGTCCGCCCATAAGGAAAACATAGAAAAGAAAAAGTCAGAAGAGGTAGAGTTAGAGAAGGCAAGTCAGGAACAGGCATATGAAATTAAGGAACTACAAAAAATTGAAATTCAAGTTGAAAGGGAGTATAAAATGTTGAAAGACTCTTTATCTAAGCGATATTTAGTGATTTGTGGTAAGCATAAGGCTCATGTTGCAGACTTGAATCGTTTTCTAAGTGATGCAGAAAAGGAAATGAACTAATAATTACCACCACTGTTTAATTAGCTGTAATGTTATTATAATAAAATGTTTATTGTTGTTTATTTATTGAAGTTTGTATTTCATTCATCAAGAGAAGAAAGTTCACAAGAAAAATTAGGTACCTAGGTAGGTAGGTAGGTACTCAGTTTATATAGGTTGTACAAATTCCCATTTCACAAATTTTGGCAATATTCTCTTAAACAGTAGAGCTCTAAGTTAATTAACAAGTTTTTTATTTCTCTTTTAAACAATTATTGATTTGATATCCTTTTAATTTTTGCTGGCAGCACATTAGATCATTTTGTACCCACAATGGGGAAATTTTCCATTGGAGAGCCAGTCTATGTACTGGATACGTAACATCATGGGCCGGATTACGAACTCTCGATTCGAACCGAAACCGCCATGGATTTCGAACGCGTTCTAATGCATTCGCATAGAGTGCGTTCGAAATCCATGGCGGTTTCGGTTCGAATCGAGAGTTCGTAATCCGCCCCCATACATTCGGTGTCTATTTTTAACATCAGACATTATAACATACAGACTGGACCAACCTACTAGACACATAGTGAGTAATACGACGCATAAGCTTGATGAACCCGGTTTGGGCGAATCGAGGCGATCGAAGCCGAGTTTAGCCAAGCTGCCGAAGATGCACGAATTTTAATAACATGCAGGGACGATTAATTATCTACCGTGCCGATCTCGCAGTGACATAGGTACAGTCAACTGGTCCCATTAAAGCCTATTGTGTCTAGTAGCTTGGTCCTCCCTGTATACTTAGATATAAAAACACATTCACATCTTCCCGGATAATTTTTATTTCTAACAGCCCTCCATTAGGCGCCTCTGGACTACAAAAACATCTTGAATTGAACATCCTTCCCCAAAAAATTATTTACAAAATTGACATAGTACAAAATTCTGAAAGTTCCTTCCTCCATATATTTGGAGATGACACGTATGCTATAATAGATTGTATTCAATCTCTCCAGCATGTCATGTTTATATCGAAAGACCAATAATCCAGGTGCTCATTCAAGAACATCCGTAAAAAAAAGTTAATTTCTCAAATTTTTCAACTGGAAACTGCTCGATAAGGAATGAGATTAAATTTTATGTTTCTCTAACAAAAAATGTTCCATTTAATTGTGGAAATTATGCTAATTTTTTTTTCTTTCTGACACAGGTTTCTCAAAATGTACGGTAAAAACTCAAATTGTTTAATTTTGTCTGTGAAGTGTTCGATACAATTGATACGAAGCTTAAAACTCAATCCTTTCTGTTTTAATATATTTCTTTTTTATTATTTCAGATCACCAGCACAAATGGGTAAAGAATTATCACTCGAAATGAGGCGCTTAAACTTGGTGGCTTAGATCAGTTCGTAGTTTTCATTATTTATTGTAAATATTAAATGCATAGTATATAAGCACACCCCATATTTCATATTTATGAACAATAATGACATAATTTGAAGGCGTTTTCAATTGGTTAGAAAACATCTTTCATCGTGTAACAAAATAACACACATTGTATTAGTTGATTTCTAACAAAATGCATTTTTCAATTTCAAAAATGTTTAATTCTTCTGACAAGTGTTACACTGTTACAAAGAATTCATCAATTTTAATTTGTTTAAAATTGATCTTAATACATATAATAAATGGGTTTCCTTTACTTCAAATGTTTCTTTCTTTAATCCAAAATGCAGCCCCATTTTTTGTTTTAGTGTGTAGGAAAAAATAAAACAACAGTTACAATTCACAATAATTTTTATAGAGCAAGTGGCAGGTTAAATACACAATGTTATTACTTGTTTTGATTTACATTGTTTTAAATATGCCTTTAAATTAAACTAAACGGTTAAGTCATGATGTGTTTCACCGATGAAGCAATTACAATGTGTTCTTTTTAATGATTATTCCATATCTGTTTTTCAAAAGGATGCTAACAAAGGAAAAGGCACACAATACAATTGGGATCTATTTCTTTGACATTTTATTTCAAAGTCAAAGTATTCATCACAATAATCTTAACTATAAAAGGGATACTTTCTACATATAAAATATTTTACAAACATGCAATAATTCACAAATAGCTTTTATACAAAGAGCAAATTATCGGATGGTTCAAGAACATAATTTGAGCTAATAATTTATTTTCTCTACGAAGAGTGAAATTTTTTTATATATTGCGCAACACTTGGAGGCTTGACCTGTATAGGTAGCAGAAAGGCGTGAATACAAAACTTTTTGAATTTTCCTCAAGTTCCTATCAGATTAAACAAATGACAACTGCGAAGCTGTCCAACAATGAAAGTTTTTGCACGTTGTTTGCTTAAATGGAAGAACTAACTTTTTGATTGCAAAATATAAAAGAAATTCTAATCCTCTGACTGCCCATGACAAATGGTAACGTGAACAAAGGGTCTTAAATTAAATGAACTCAAAGGCACTCTAATAAGTCAGGTGACGTTTCGATAACTTCTATGTGTACTAAGAAAGATAGAACGTAGACCCAATGTGTAGAACAGAGAAGGTTGAGGATCAAAACCGACTTAGTAGAGTACCGCCGAGTTTATGATCGTTGTTTGCTCCATCAATATAATGACAAATAGGATATTCAACTTAAAAAAACCTCACATTGCTCGACAGCTTGCAATGTCATTGTCATCTTATAATCTATAATGCTAAAAACTCCAAGTGGAGCCCAAAATTTAAAGAAACTACCCTGTACATCTCAGATGTCGTCAGGTAAAACCAAAACTTGCAATCAATGTTATTTTTGTTTTGAGATACCACTTATACAGAGAAAATAATGTTTTTTCCCATAAATATTACAGGCACAGATGCTTTATATGTATTTCCCGAATATTTGGAGATTCCTTAAATTTTATAAAATATATTCTTTGATAAATATTTTATAAATAAAATTAAAAAAACACGTCACAAAGGCAAGTTTTAGGATTACTGGTATATTTTTTCATCAAATCAGATTATATTGCGTACTTCTGCCATTTTAATAAGGTGTTGATTTTTTTTAACCATACAAAAAATATATCTCTGTAAAAACATTAGTGAGAAAGTTGTGGGAGAAAAACGTCTTACTTTTCCATGAAACAGCATGAATTTAATTTTTCTAACTAAAAATAAAATAGAAAGTTTTGAAATTTCTTCCTAAACACAGAAAATTTAACTCCCTAAACTCAAAATAAACTTTCACTTCAAAGGCGACCAGATGACAAGAATTTCAAAAATGTTTGAAAAGCTTTCTAACTAAGAAGCATTTGAATATTGAAAATTTAATTCTTTTAAATATGATATGTCTCTGGATTATTTCGGATTAGCCATTGCATAAAAAACTCTCCAGGTTTAAAGGCAGTTATTTGAAACATCACCAAACCGTAAACTTCGTTTCAGCACCCAAGGTTTAAATTATAAAATTCAAACATTTCCAGCCTAAACTTTCAAAACCTTCCTCTGAATAGAAATTTTTTTGCGACGTACGTATCAATATTTATACATAAATGCAATAGCATCCATTTTGTTCTTAAATTTAATAAATTTACAGAGATAAATACTATATTTTTTATTTAAAAATAACTAAGTTCGAGTTTCTATGTATGGCATACGAGCTCATTAGGTTTTATTGTGAACACTGTTATTATTAAACATTTAAGCATAGTCTATTTTTTTGAAATTTCGACTGCCGAATTAATAAATGAAAAGAATAATGTCTTACCTACTGCAGCCTTGGTAAATTTGTTTCTTTGTGCCTTCAGGCAAATTTTAGACTTCTCCATTTTTCTCTGATAGCTGACAAAGCAGCAATAATGAAATGCTGAATACCTACTTCTTCTAAAAATTAGTATGAAACAGCAAACTACTTTATTTTTTTTTTGCCATGCAAGAGCCGTAACTAACTTAAATGAATAGTGATGCATGAGGTTTAGACATTGACTTTATGAATTTTATCTTTTTTCTAATTCAATCACAGGAATCAAATTTGCATTCTGAACATTTTTGCATAATTCAAGCAGAAAAAAAAACAACACTTATTTCAACAACAAAGGACAAATCTGAGGAAGCCAAAAGTGCTTTTTTTATAGGACTAAGCTTAACTGTAAAATTCACTGGAAAATAATTTTCAATCATCCTGTTAATAAGCACTGTTTACAGTTAACTATACTTTAACCATAAAGATTCTAAAATGATGTTGTTGTAACTTGGTTACCACCAAATCTGCCTTTAGTCCTGGGTGATATGACGTTTTTTTGATTTCTTGAGATTGGGTATTGAGCACAAAAACTGCCACAAACAGTTTTGAGCTCCTAAATGGGAAAATATCTTATAGTAACAACATTCAACTAGGGCAAACTTGAATATCAATTTGATGTAAACATTTTTTTAAAGATAAATCCATGAAGACAATGTCTAATTTTTATAGATAGCTACACAGAGGTTTTAAGATTATGGAATGCTTAAATAATTACTGGATGAAAGTTAAATTACTTTTAATCTATAAACGGGGATAAAATATTCTTCTGAGCCAACCAACAGTCTTTGGTATTTTTTTCTTCTTCACATCCACAATAAATAGTATAACGCGACAAAGCAGAACATTTATGATCTATCACGAAAAGCTTTTTTCACAATTTGGTAGTTTCAGATTTTATTCTTTTCAATTTTTTTGTCTCTCTGAGCGTAAATGAATTCAAGAGAGTATTCTGATAAATGCTTAAAAATAATTCTGGATAAATAAACATAAAAACAATTATGTATATAAAAACATTTCCACTTAACACAGCATAAAACCAGAGCTGTTTAAGACTAAATTTTTATTATTAACAGTCACTTTGTTCAAATACTGATCACTCCTCATTTTAGTTTCACTAACTGAAAGCTGATACCTCAATGGAATGCATTTAATGAAAAACTGATTAGGTGATAAATTTGTCTCATTCAAGTGAATTTATAACATTACAAGAAGGAAGACAGAGGTAGCCTATGGGCTGACTCCTATCCAAAATTCTTGCTACTATATTGGTTTGCAAGTAAGTAGTAAGTAAGGGGCAAAACATAATTATGGATGGGACATTTTTGCATGAGAAAGTTAAGACAATACTAGATTGAGGAAATAGTCATTTGCGCATTTGTTTTCAAAAATCTACACAATTCAAGCACTTAATTTGCTGAATACTTGGGGCTTAATTGATAGGAGATCATGGTACAGATTAATAATCAACTGTCTTTTTATATACAGTTTATAGAATATTTCAAGTTATGTACTTAGAATTCTGTATTTTTTAGGAAGATTTCATAAAATAAATAGAACCTATCATTTTTTGTCTACTTAAATCTAATATCAGTATAAACTATTATATTTCTATTTATAACGATACACCTAATTTCTTATTACCAGGAACTTTTTTTTTTGCTGTTCATCCTATTTAATCACGGATGGTTGAGAGTATTTGAACTATATTTTATCAAATTACCTCTACCTTGTTTGTCAATTTTTATCTCTACAAAAATTCTCAAGACTTACACGGAAACTACCAAATTGTTCAGATTTGTGCAGAGCGCAGGTCTTGCTCGTATTGTCTTCAGTCTGATCAACTTATACTAACAATAAAAAATATATTGATCTGCGCTTTAAACTCAGTGAAAAACTCAAAACAATTCCCAAGGATCCTTTGTTTAAATTATCATCTACAAGTAGGCACTTTCAAACCTTTCAATTAATTTAAATTAAATGTAGACTGGATTTTCTTGGCCAGTCAGTAAACGAAACATGGAAGTTGGCATGGTCTTCATTAAAATCTAAAACAGTATGATGACATTGCACAAACAGAAAAATTAATCAAACAACAACTCACTTCTCCTACAGATGTTGCTAATAAATTTACAATTTTTTCATGTGGAACAGCAACAACGCTTTGATTGTTAATTTCAATGATCCTATGTCCGACACGTACACCACCTCGTTCCGCTATACCTCCACGAAGCAAACTACATATCTGAAAAAGTTGTACCTATTTAGCTGTTACGGGTAGAGTCTTAAAATAAATCACACTGGGATTTTAAACTTAGAATAATAAATTTGAAGGTATGCAAAAAAATATAATTGAAATAAGTAATGCTTACCACTCCATTTTGAACGCTAAATCCTAATTGGTATTTGGTATCGGGCCGCTTAATTTTTACTTCAACTACTGGTGCACAAGGAACTACAGTTAGTTTGACTACAGTTTGATTTTTCGAATTCTTAATATAAGTTTGACAAGTAGATAATGGAAGTCCAACAAGACTGACGCCGTTGATTGCAATAATTTGATCGCCGATATTGAGCTGACCACATCTCGCTGCTGCACCAGCCGGAGCTAAATTAGCTATCACTACTGTCGGTAGCATTGAACCCCAACCCGATTCTACTATTACAACTCCAAGAATTTCACCTTTAGCTTTTGGAACTACTACCTCCTTTTGCATTTCTTTTTTAGCAAACATTTGCAACTCATCGCCAAATATTTCTTGGGAATTGAGTACTTCCTGATAATCCATTTCTTTAACAAAACTTTGATCTTCAATGCCATTAGCTTTTAAAAATTCCATATAAGCAACCTGAAAACGCATTTTAAAAACACAACAACCTGAGTATTATTTAAGAACTAAGTTTTTACTTGGAAAGCTTGACCAATCGATTGAGCTATAAATTGAGCTTCTTCACTCTCAAATACGTGGCAAATCATTTTTGGAGTTCTATTTATTTTAGGAGCATCTTCAACTTCATGAGGAATAAATCTTCTTCGTGCCATCAATACAACCAGATCTCCTATGTCGGCAATATATGAGATTGTCCTTAGTGCGTGGTCCATCATTATTTCTTTTAGATCAGTATTCAAAACCTTGATAACAGAAATTTTTAGTAAACAAAATTTGTTCGTGTCTCAATGTTAATTTATCATTGAATGAGTTTTAGAACACCGTCACAAATTAATGATAGACGAAATAAGCGATCCAGTTTGAGTATCGCCATAAAGTAGTGACAGATTGGAGGAGACTATAAGCAAGTGAGTCCGCTAGCAAAATTTATGAAGGTAAATCGGACATTTTAGACTAAAAAGATTTATTACAGTAACTTACCATAATTTTCTCTGTGGAAATAAATAAATCAACTTCGGTACTTGGCTGAGTTTCTCCATCAGGTGCCTGAAAAATAATACAAATAAATGCAAAAACATAAGAGTAAAAGCCATAAGTAGCTTACCAAAGCCTATAATTATCCATTCCCAAGCAGCGATGAAATAGAAAAAGATTTTGTTAGTAAACAGATGGAAATGATTTGTTGTTATATGAGAATGAATACTTTATACTACATACTACATAGGTACATAATACTAATTAACGGCAACTCCTGAATAAAAAATATACTAAAATTTATTGGAAACAAATTAACCCTTAAACCTAGTTTAATAGTATAACGGTGGACTGATCTCTGATCGAATATATTTTTAAATCAAAATGTTATTTTAGGATGTACAATCCAACGTCATAGTTGAAATTATTACAAGAAACATAGAACAAACATCAAAAAACAGACCTTAATTTTAGTAACAGCAACTTCAACCATACTTTTCTTGAATTTTTTTCGTCGCTTTCTACCCCCTTCCTCGTCAACTTCAACAGAACCCAGGAAAAGTAACCGAAACACGGTGCTTGATGCTCCACCACCAGGACCACCAAATGGCTTTTGAATGAAAAACGGTGATGGATCATCTATAGAAACACTATTCAATAACTGTTTTATTTTTGGTGGATTGTTTTTCATTACAAAAATTCACCGTGTTTCGTTATTTAAATAATGTGTTAATGAAAGAATGAAAAATAGATGCCTGGTGGCTAAACCTTTGAAAATATCTAGGGATTTTCCATGTGACATAATTCCATACATTATGAATCATGTTTTTCCACCAAGCAACCAAACCCTTACCATTATCAGTTAATGGAGGCATGGATGATTGAATAACAGCATTATCAAGATTCAATTCGTTCTGTCTAAATGAACTGACATGACTTTCATCCTCAAAGTTCCCATATTCGGGACTACTAAATGTCGCATACTGAGGTTCGTACGGCTGAACCGCTTGGTTGGGTACCTCCTAGAAGTCGATATTTGTATAGTGATATTATTGTAATTTATTTCAACGAAAAAGTTATAGAGTGTCATATATCCATGTAGCAGCACTCTAATATTGCTGATATTTTTTAAAGAAAATTCTATCCTGCCCGCCCTGATGAATAAATAAAAAATTCTAAATGCCCACACAATATAACTTTTTCATCACAAAACTTTACCAATTTGTAAACTATAATTTTATGAAAAAAAAATATATAATTTTTGATATGGTTTGGGAAATATTACCATGATGCAAATGTCTAAAAAATAATGTTTACTTCCTAGTTGTTCAGATAGAGCAGAAAGAATGGGTTTAGGGATGTAGAAATAAAACTCCCCCTCTTCCAATAAATTATGTTTCGAATATGTATTTAGTCATTTTCATACACAGGCCGGACTAGCCTGTTTCAAGCAAATACATGCTCGAAACGTCGAAGCAATGGAGCTTTACATCCAAAGTCTTTAACTGAATAAGTACGTAAAAAAGTATTACACAGAAGTGAATAACTACTTAGATAAAGAAGTGCTCCAATATATACTTCAAGACAAGATGTAAAAAACATTCAATACGAAAATAAAAAATAATATGAAGGGACATTGTGCGAAATTATTTGTGTCGTGCAATACGATTTTTCTATCTAAATAAAATTCGCTTTTATATTTGAATCGTTGTTTTCTAATAAACACTTATATTGAAAATTGGAAAACTACTATTCTAAACACATATTTGATGAAAAGGCAACCAACCAAAAAACCGCTCAATAAGCGTGCATTTAGCTTACAGAGTACAGAGGAAAAAAGTATACAGGAAGGAATGTTTCAATGGAATAAATTCAGTATCAGAAAGTCTGTTAATTTTCTGGAACCCCCCTTTATTTTAAGTATGGCAAATTTTTTCGGCCTTTTCATGAAATTTACCCCTTTCTTATGGATAGAAACCACCCCCAACTTTTTTTTTTCAAATTTAAAGAGATGTATTGTGCTCGTTGGAATGGGCATAAAAAAGCGAAAATGACATATTATATCTATGGTGGGTGAGCTAAAGAGTACAAGTCAAAATTTTGCGAAAATGAGTTTAAGTCATTTTGGTATATATTTTCGGTTCCTACATCGACTGGTCCAAACAGTATGAGTCAATTTATTTGAAATACTTTAATTTTAATTTCAATCCACATAGTTTAACTTAAAAGGAATTTTATTCTGTTGGGCATATCAGTATAAGTTGAATTGTACTATTTAGATTATACACTATAATAAAATTTAAATAGTACAAGTAGACTTATACTATTCCTATCCTGATTTTGTCAGTCGACTTATACTCTTAGTACCATTTGGTGAGCAAAGAGGTGATGTTATCAGCAAAAAAAAAGTGTTTTGTGAAAAAGAGTTGGCCTTCTTTTCCAGTTTTTGCAAATATCAAATTTTGGGTTGAGCAAAACTAGTATAAGTCATTTCTTAGGTCAGGTCAAAATATTATAAGTCATATTATCTTATTTCATAATAATATATGTCATCTGTAGGTCTGGTCAAAAGAGTATAAGTCCATTTTTTTTTGTAATAAAAAAAAACAGAACAAAAAAAAAATAAAAAAATAGATTATCTCTAATAAAAAAAAACCTTTGTAAAGTTAAAAATTCGATTCGTCCGAAACAGCCACAAAAAATCCGATTATTTTAAAGTCTAATATTTCGAAAGCATTTTTCTTGATTTGTCTAATTTTGACTTGTACTCTTTAGCCCACTCACCATAGATATACTTTTGAATTTTGGTGATCTAGAAAGCGAGAAAAAAATAAAAACATATTTTTCCACACAATTTTTTTACAGTTAAAATTGTTGAATGTCTTCAGCATTTTTTCTTGGTAGAACCCTAATGCGAAAAAAGCCCCATTTGTAACGTTATGTAATTATTTTTGACGTTACCACACTATTGGATGCCTGATATGCTCATCGACATCATAGCATGCACACCTGACCTTACTGTGACGTCATCAGCGGTAAAAGAAGTGTCCTCTATAGCTGATCATTGTCTAGTTTCCTGTCGTTTCAGAAATTTGAAGACAAAAATCGAACCGTTTTTATATACGTTCAGAAACTTCAAGAATTTTGACCAGGCTATTTTTGATCAGCATCTAAGTACAATTGATTTTTCTCCTATATTTTTGACTACAGATGTAAACAACGAAATTAACATGTTTAATAATTTGATTCTAAATATTTTCAATGATCATGCGCCTGTACAAACAATAAAAATAAGCAAGCCCCGGGCACCCTGGCTAACAGGAGCTATAAAACTATTAATTGCAGAAAGACAAAAGGCTTTAAGTAGGTTTAAAAAAAGTAAAAACCCAGCAACTTACGATTTTTATAAAAGGTTACGCAATGAGGTCAATTACGCAATCAATAGAGAGAAAAAAGCTTACTTTGAAAACCAAGTAAGAAAAACTAACAACAAAAGTATATGGAAGGAACTAAAGACAATGAACGTATTATACTCAAAGACGAAAGCATCTGTTCCCTCACACTTAACGGATGCAGATAAAATCAATGACTTTTTTATATCTAGCTCCAAGTCGCCTAATCTCCCAGATCAAGATCTTATTAATAAATTTCTATCTGAAAAAAGAGAAACTCATAATGAGGATTTTAAACTTCTAGCGGTCTCACAACATGAAATATATAGTTCCCTACTGAGCATAAGATCAAAGGCTGTTGGCCCTGATGGGATAAGCATAGAAATGCTGCTCCGATGTTGTCCAGTTATACTCCGTATTTTAAAACATATATTCGACTTTTGCATCTCGTTTAGTGTTTATCCTGATTTGTGGAAGACGGCACATGTCATACCCCTGCCAAAAAATGCAAATCCTGAGAAGCTAGAAGACCTACGGCCAATTAGTATTGTGTGTGCAATTTCGAAAGTTCTAGAAAAGCTTGTAGAGAAACAAATCAGAGAATACATAGAACGAAACCAGATTATACCTGTGCAAAAATCAGGATTCCGAAAGAATCATAGTTGTATAACGGCACTCGCTCAAATAACGGATGACATTCTCAAAGGTATTGACGATAATAAGCTTGCCATACTGGTGATGGCCGACTACTCGAAGGCCTTTGACAGAGTCAATCACACTCTTTTATTCGCACTTTTAAATTACATAGGTTTTTCACAGAGTGCGATTGACTTTGCTAAGGGTTGCCTTCAGGGTCGCCAACAGTGTGTCAAATTTGATAAGCTTACATCCAGCTACCTGCCAATAACATCGGGCGTTCCGCAAGGGTCAGTTCTATCCCCACTACTCTTTTCAATTTACACTTCCCAATTTCACCGTGCTTTGAAATTTTGTTTGTCACATTACTACGCAGATGATGCGCAATACTATAAAATAACTACAGAAGAAAACCTTCAACAAACTTGTGAACGAATTAATAAAGACATGGAGTCACTGATAAAAACTTCATCCGAGTACTGCCTCTCTGTCAACCCTCAAAAGTCGCAGGTAAATTTGTTTGGCCGTAAAGCAGCTAGGAATAGATGTAAAGGTTCTGTAAACATAATAATAGACAAACAAAAATTAGAAATAACAGAACAAGCCAAAAACTTAGGTATGGTACTTGATTCGCCTTTGAATTTTGATGGACATATATCACTTATAATTAAGAGAGGTTTCAGTAATCTAAAGCTTATATATAGTAATAGACATATTTTGAGCAAATGTGTCAAAATTCTTCTTTGTGAACTACTAGTCCTATCTCATTTAAACTATGGCGACACAATCTACAATAACTGTATAAGAAAATCTGATTCTCGTAGACTCCAAATGCTGCAAAATTCCTGTGTTCGATTTATATGTGGTCTACACAGACGATCGCATGTTTCGCAGGAGCTTAGAAACCTAAATTGGCTCAATATGGAAAACCTTAGGTTGCTCCACTGTTCGGTTTTCTACCACAAAATATTGATAAACAAACAGCCATCATACCTCTATCAAAAAATCTCTTTCAGGCACTCGCAACATGATAAAAATACAAGATCAAAAGACAGTTTAACAATACCAAAACATAAAACATCGATTTATAAAGGATCATTCTCATATAACGTTGCTAAAATCTATAACAAAATTGAACCATCCATAAAAAAATTAGGTATTCTCTCGTTTAAAAAAAAGTATAAAGGAACAACTGATTCAGCAATCAATATTGAGCGTATAGATAGGTGTGGATAAATTTAATAAGAGAATCTTACTGTTTAATAATAGTATTTGCATAGTTTATTATTTAGTGAAATTTTTTTTTTTCCTACTGGCTGTCAACTCATTTTTTGTTTTTTTTTTTTTTTTGTTGTTGTTGCATTATGCTGGTAGAAATTGCTCTTGTTGTTAAAATATTGTTAAAAAACCTATAATGTTAAAATATGGTGAAGGGTGAAAGTTTTTCAAATAGGTATTGGGATATTTTATTTTTTCTTTTTCTTAATTTTTTGTTTAGTTACTAAAAAAGTAGGTAAGCTTCACAAATGCCTGAGTGGAAGAACGCGGTTCTTGTTTACTATGTAAACAAGAATGCGAACTCTGACATTTATCGCAGATCAGCGATTATTAGCAAGTAAAAATAATTTTAAGTTTATTGTGTATCTGATCCATTTGCGATAATAAAAACGTTTAATAATAATAATAATAATAATAATACTCGGATTCTCAGCCCTAAAATAGTCAGTCGTATGAATAAAGTGTAGCAAATGCTTTTACTCTACCTTCGCCCCTTTTTGTATTAAAGTTGAATATGTTTATCTCAAAAAACTTAAGCAAAAGCATTTGCTCCTGTTTTATTCATATGAGCCAGTGTTAACGACAAACATAATTACATAACTAGATCACCGAAATGCAAAAGTAAATAATTGGTCAGATTTCTTTTTTTATGCCCATTCCAACGAGTTATCACAATACATATCTTTACATTTGAAAAAAAAAAGTTGAGGGTGGTTTCTACCTTCAAGCAAGGGGTAAATTTCATGAAAAGGCCGAAAAAATGTGCCAAACTGAAAATAAAGGGACCCGTTTTTTTTTTAAATTTTTCCAGAAAATAAACAGGCTTTCTGATACTGAATTCATTCCATTTAAAAATTCCACCCTGTATATTATATGAAACGTGTGAATACTTACTAATTTAAATAACCTTTGAAAGTCAGATATTATTTCCATCTTTACTCTGCAATGTAGGTTCTGTTACGATCTTGGAAGGGGGTACACGTACACATACACTATGGATTATTTTTCTTAACGATCTCCAAATGCCAATCAATATAAATAGGAGCATTGCAACAAATTCGACCCAAATTTAACTTGCTATCTTCGAATATTAATATCTATATCTATATGAATGCGAAACAAGTTTCATTTGGGTATGTTGAAAAAATCAACGCTTTAAACCACCTAAAACTATGACATTTAGTTTTTAACATGCTGTACAAAAAAACTACAAATCTGAGCTAAAATCTATTTGGGTTTTAGTAAAGCTTGACAGCGTTTTTCTAAAAAAAAATCCTAATGGGGAACTGTGAATAATTCATAATTAAAATTATTGTAAAACTCAAATTTGTAATTTTTTCCCAATATTTCTCGTAAATACTATAAGGCGCTTTCACATGTGGTTGGTACGACAAAGACAAATTGGAATATGAAAAAAATTCAAGCGAGCCACCCTGAATATCTTGAAAAAGATTCAAGATATCGACTTGGCATATAAGCAAATAGTATGTTACTGAGGGATCAATATTGTTTTGGAATTGATGGAATATTGAAATTTTTCAAATAATGTTTGTTTGATAAGTAATGTCTCAAAGTATTTTCGGCGCGTTACAAAATTATTCAAATGGTGACAGTAATTATGATTAATTTGTATGCTGGGCGGCCATCTGCAACAGTCCAAGAAATTTTAGCTAAAGGGTATTTTTTTTTAGATCTAGCAACTGGGCTCACCTATAAGAGAGTTTCAAATGGCCCACGCATCATCACCAAGTAATACTTTGTTATTAATTACCTTTCGCTTATTATGCGGGTTTTTATTCTCAATGACTTTCCTGATGAACTTCGAAAAAAATGACAATTGAGAAAGATTTAATGAAAACTGAATGCTGAATTCTATCATGAAATTCGACGAGAATAAAAATGCCCTAATTGAAACTCATAATTATTTGGGAAGTGCGTTGAATCATGCCTATATACAGAAAAAGTATTGAGAAATTGAAATATGTATTGAAATATACGTAATATCTTTAGGCTTTAAAAAAACGTGATTCTAACTTCAGAACAATAAAAAAATTATTGGATTAAATTAAATGAAGGGATTAAGGTATAAAGAAACCAACAAGCGTATCCACAAGCCTCGGAACTCCAACATCGTTCATAGATTAAATCGCAATACATATAGAAATTACCCTCATAGAGTGTGAAATATCAGGAAAACATTAAATGGGACAAAACGGCACACACTGCGAAAAGGGTATGAATAACATCCGACCGAAGTAGGATATTTTAAAATCGCGTCACTGTACACTGTCCACTAGCTTTTAAATATGTACAATAAAATCTAGCATAAGCTGGGCTCAACAATGAAGTGATTTCTTAAAATTTTCATGTTTTTTTTTTGTTAATAGCTAACCATCAAATAATATTCTAAAAAAGCGATGTACCTTGATACGTGATACAGCTTCTTCAGCTTGCATCATTCTAGTGGTTTTAGTAGGCTGACCTTCGCAAACCAGTTGAGTTGATCCCAAGTAACGCGCCCGAAAAAGGACGCCCTCTATCAGAACCGAACGTTGAATCACATCTGTAAAATAATTTTTTAAAAATATCAGAATATGAAAACGGACGCAAATTTACCTTCTTTACTACGCCCCTTTTTCTTGTCTTTATCCTGCAATGAATTTAACATACAAATGAAAAAATATTTTAAAATTATGTTTATTAGAAGTACATAGAAAGCAACATAATATGGTTGTTATTGTAACAAGTAGAGCTGGGCATTACCTGACTACCATTCAGTACCACAAAGTAAAACCCATGTGGTTCATTCCCAAATTGCTTCCTCATGAGGCTGAGATCAGGCGGTTTAAAGCATAAAACTTGATTTTTTTTGGACACAAGAGATCTATTTAGGTATTTGGCAAAGTTTCATAATCTGTGAAAACCAATATGTGGAGAATAGTTGATTCTCCAGTTCCGCCGTTAAATTATTATTTTATTTTCAACTATACATTGTAGAGGAATTATTCCATATGGAAAAACCTGGAAGTCAATTCTGTGAATTCCTTTTGACCATTTAGTCTTGATGGGGAACTCTTGAGCACCAAAGTTCGTCAAAAACAACTATGTCGTAAGCTACAAAGTCTAAGCTACAAATTTTGAATGATTTGGAAGCTGGTGAAAAACTTTTTATTTGGGAATGTATTCATTATTTATTGTAAGTACTTATTTCTCAAAAAAAAAATACTAAAAAAACATTCTTAGAAGTACGGATTGTATGCTGTTCACATTAGTATGGTCTACCCAGCTCTTTCAACATGTTTACATTTTGTATATGTTTCATATGATACTTCCTCTTAGCCATGAAAGAAGCTAATGATATTTTTTGGTCCTACATTATCAAATTTTTATTATTTTTGGAAGTGACTTTTTGTCCTACTTATTTCAATTTTTTAAAACTCATGTTTATATAGTATATTCACATCATACCTATATAATATACACATATACTGAGTGTCCGGAAAAGGGTACGGAGCGGCTGTATCTTCATAATGGTAAGGCCAGACAGTTTGGAAAAAAAATCGTTATGAATGAAGTGGCCAAGAGAAACGGCTCTGGAAATTATTTTCAAGTTCGTAATTCGACCGCTTTGGGCTGTCATAATAAGGGAGGGAGAGGCCAATTCGATTATCAATATTTACATCTTAATATATCCTGAACCACTCAACTAATATCTAGACACCAGTTATATATATTTTTTCTAAAAATGTATAATTACTGATAAATTACATGCGCACAGTGCTAAACATACAATGTTCAACTCATACCAAGCCTAATCTAATCATGAATCAAACTCCGTCACTAATATAAGTGAAACTGATCATGAAAAATATTTTTTTTCTGCTTAAAGTCGAACACAACTTTCACCAAGTATTGGCCGAATCAAATTTAAGAAAAAATCGTAAGTTCTAAATACAACTAATTAACCCTTAATGTTTACAGGGTATCCTACAAAATAATATATTCAAATTTTTTGTAGTTCAATTAAATTAGAAAATATTATGTATATTCTAAGCCTGTTCCGTTTAAATTTGAACACTCTATGCAATGTGTGTATTATGTAGATTCAGCAAAAAAAAGGTGTACTGGGTGATTCCTCTGGTCGTCAAAAAAAAGTTAGGTATGTGTTCAAGACAATAAAGCAACTTCTTACTCTCCTATTATTGTAATTACAAATACTATTATCTCACTAAACTCATGCATAATATACAAGCGATAATTGGGGGAAAAAAATGTTAATTTTGTAGTTTGTTTAAGTGTTAGTTGATTAGCTAGAAGCCTAATAACTATGCTATTTTCTATAATATATTTCAAATATCTTCAATGAAAGTAATCGAAATATTACTGACTTATTTTCTTTGCTCTGTGTTTCATGAAGAAAAAAAAAACAACAAACTTTAATTAAAAGTACTAAATTAAATTAGGATTATTGATATTAAAAATTTCAATGAAGATCGTTGAATAAATGCATGCTATTTGCACACCTTTTTAGTTTTATTTGAAGACACTGATCCTTTTTGACTTTGAGGTGATTGGCTTTTGTCAGACGCGGCCGAAGGAGATTGAGGAGCAGAGGTTTGTATTTCAGCGGACGGGACTAGTGGGATAGAGCTTTCGTCAAGGGAAGTGAGCAATTGTTTCGGATTAGAATGGCCTATCTGCGGCATTATTGTTCGACTTTTAGGTTTTCTCCAATCCTAGCAATACAAACAACAATTTTAGGAACATGCCATATTAGACTCATTCAAATATGTATGTGTAAAAAAAATGGATATTAGGCATATATCGATAAAGTTTAACCATCTGAGCAAATCAGGTAGGTAGTAAGGATTATATTTATTATTTGAAAACCAATATACCCGTTGAGATTAATGAAAATTTAATTAGAGATTTTTGTAGACAATTCATGTGACTTAAGAATCTTCAGTGATGACATACAGATTATTAAGAATAATCTTCCTTAGATATAACATTCGACTTGTTTTCCAAAACAAAACCACAAATAAATAAAATAATATAGAGGCCGTTTGTGGCCAGTGGTTGGTGCAACTTATGTTTTAAGAAACTCTCACTACTAAAGATTCTCAATTATTCGAAAAAATAATCATCACAACACCAATAATAATGGCTAACTACCAAAAACACTATACATATTGATTATCAAATGCCGAAGATTTAGAAAAAAAAAACACTGAAACATTAAATGCACATCTAGTAGAGAATATCAGGAACCATATGATTATTTATTAGAGTGGTGTTTTAAAAATCAAGAACCTTGCCTAAAATATGTACTACCCAATCATTAATAATATTTTTATAAGTAGGCAGAAGCTTCAATCATATGTAATTTGAAAAACTTATTGAAGATTTTATGAATTTTAGCAGGAACAAGTAGAAATAATGCAAACAACATACACTAGACATCATGTAAAAAATATCAAATATATACCTTTTCGTCGTAAAATCCTTGATCATCAGTTCTTTGCTGACCAAGCAACCTGTCTGTTTCCAAATCCGTATCATTTTCTTCTAAACAAAAAAAAAATAATAGGAATCATAAACAGAAAAAAATAACTCACCTTCTTCAGGGCCACTGTTGCCTTTTTGTTCAGAATCGGCACTGGTAGTGGAAAGTCCTCTTTGCCGAAAGTGGCTAAAAATTACATATTCTGTTGTAAATTTTCAAAAAAAAAGGTTTGGTACTTACAGTTTCTTAAAAAACATCATTCAAAAATAGAACAAAAAAAAAAGAAACAACAAAAATTTTTGTTGAATCAAATTACCTTTTTCAAATTAAGATATGGATAAACATAGATAAATTTAATGGAATAACGATTATAAGTAAACACATACTGATTATTTCGTCCTCAAGCATTAACACATACAAGATGCCAGGGAATTTATATTTTGTATTTTTGTAAATAATCTGCTGAAAAATTAGAATTGAAATTAAATTTCTCACCTTGGTACCCAAATGGGACTATCACCATTCTCTTCACACTCCTCACCAGGATGCCGTTGCAATGGAAGAGTTTTTGTTCTTTGAAGTGTCAGTCTGATGTCTTTAATGGCGGCTTCTACGTCGTTTGCTTTTTCTCCACCACTAACCATTCGATGAGGCGCTGGAGCTGGTGGAGGAGGCGTTTTTTCTTTTAAAGAAAAAAAAAACCGTAAGAATAAAATATAAATTTGAAAAAATAAAACAAAATACTCACCTACGGAATCAGTGTGTGAAATATTTAACGGTTCATCAAAACTATTCACACAACTATTATTGATATCTGTAGGGGATGTTACGATACAATCTTTTGGAGGAGGCATGCCGTTTTCACTGGGTTTACCGCCAGATTTCTGCTTGCAAATACCTATAGAAACTTTGAAATTAATGTCAAAAATAAAAGCTTTGTCTTGGCTTGATTCTCACCTTGGTTAATTTCTCTTTCAATTTCTGTTATTTGTCTTTTCATGAGCATAACAGTAGGATTATTATTATCTGTATCACTGGCATGTCCTGAAGATAATCCATCCTCCAGAACAGGCATGCTTGAGTATAATCTTGAAGTATCACCAGGCACTGCTAAATCTGTATTTGATCCTGAAAATAAACGCTCGGTTATTTCTGAAGGGATTAAACCTAATAAGGCTCACCCAATAGACCTCCCGAAGGTACAAGGTCATTTTCCATGAGCATTAATGATACTTCGCTATCTAAATCGCCGCAATTCGAATCACAGTCAGTTGTTTCCGGAGACAGTGTAAAATTTCGACTGTGACCAACTTGCAAACCAACTTCCGTTTCCCCCAAATCCCCACTCGAACCTGTTCCGATTGATAAATCGAGGAAATTATTTTCATGTTCGGGATATTCATGGTCCTATAAAAATTTCACAGTTATTTTTTGAATGTTATTTTTGGCGGAAAAAGGACTAAAGTTATACTATTACGATCGCGGTTACGATTATTCAGTCAAGTTATCATACGAAAAGCGATAACGATTACGATTATTAAACAAAATATACCAAAAAAAACTTTATTTTCCTCGATGAAGTGAATCAAAGTTGAAATAAAAACGAAAACTATTCTAAGGCAGATATTTGAGGGCCAGTTTATTGATTTTTGAAAAATTTAGTACTATCACTCCAGTAAAGTTGCCAGAACATAAGTTTTATTTTCGCCCATCGAATACCTGGCGCTTTCCAAATAATAGTAAAATTGTGTGATAATGGGCGATTACGGTCGCGGAGTAATCGTCACAAATTGATAATCGCAGGATGAATCGTAATCGCAATCGTTTCATCACTAGTTTTTCTGTAAGAATTTTCAGAAAACCCATGCAAAATATTTTTAAATTGTAAATAGGGTAATCGACTGTTAAATATTGAGATTTTTTCCGCCATTTACTTTTTATAATGTATTTTATTATCAAACATTCAGTGGGCACATTAAAGCATAGGTTTTTCTAAATTTTGTTTCAACTCTTGAATTTCAACTATTAAATATTCTGCTATTGGTCAGAAACCGAGACGCTTAGGCAAAAGTGAAATGCGACAAACAAGTACTTGTCGTTTTGATATGCAAACGGTTTCACTGAGCGTCTCAAAAATTATACTATTTTGTCTATAAAAATGGGAATAGGGGCGTAAATTACATATCACATGGCATAAAATCAGTCCGAGTATGCAATTCAATGTTTCCTGTTTAATTCTTATAAATACTCAGCAATCCACATGCCAAAAATGTATAACAACAATAAACACAAAATTCAGCTGGCAATAATCCCACCTACTGAAAGAACAAACAAAATAACAGATAATATAAAAGTCAATAAAAATAGAATGCAAAAATGTATAAGATGTATGACCTCAACTTAAACTTAAAATATAAGACACCAAAAAATCAAATATTAAATGGCAAAACTTATCTCATTAGCAGTAGGTTTTTGTCCTTCATAAAATGCAAGACAACCTTACATGCAACAAGACTTTAAGGAAATATAGATATTGATACATTTATGAAGATGTTTTTACCCATTGAAAATGAGATAATCCTACCTGTAAAAGGGCAGTGGAAATTGTAAAACATTTCGCTGGTGAATCAATTCGCATGCAAAAATCAGGTTCACTGCTGCGACCCTTAGCTAATCTTTTTCCTACATATGAATTTCCAGAATCACTTGCCTGTCGTCTCAACTCGTACTCTAAGTCCTGAAATTCGCTTCCTAATCTATTTTCTTCTTCAGGTGGACATTTAAAAAATTCCTCTAGAACTTTTCTGGTTTCAGAAAATTCATATAAATAATCAAATGTCGTTGTGTTACTTGTCGGCGGAGAACTATTTCTTTTCTGCATAAAATATCAGAATGTATTACCTTAACTATTTCAATTATGAATTATAATGAAAAAATCAAATCCAGAGAATACATAAGAACCAACATAAAATGAAAGAAAAATAGTCAATCAATCAACAACCAGAAATTAAAAATAATATTCAAGCTTTAACAGAATGTATGAAATTACTCACATTATTCGAATTATTTTCAACATTACTAATATTACATTCTCTTTCACTGGGACTAGGGCTTGTAACAATTCTCTGAGGAAAACCAGGTCTAGGAGGATAAACGCTAGGTGAAGCCAACAGACTTTGTGCACTTGGTAACTGAATATGAGAATTGTTTGCACCAGTCTGTCGGACACCATATCGCCTTGGCGACCCTTCATATACTGCTATTGGTAAACTTCCGATTACCTGAAAAAAAACACAATTTATTATATATTATATTTGAACACAATTTATTTATTCTTGCCTTAGCTACTTTATCTTCATCAATACTATTACTGTCATATGTGTAAGTTGCAGTGAAACCACTTTGTTCGTTTTCATGATGTTCATGTTGCTTATCATTTTCACTATTCCAACCATCCCCAATATCATCAAAGACAACGACTTCTTCCGGAAAAGGCATGTTAGTGGGACTAAGTTTTGTCTTTACAGGACTTTGAGACTCTTTTCCATGTGTCATTGAACACACCTCCGAAGAAAATACTGTCTCAGTGTATTCACGAGAATTTCCAACCTTTTTTAAACATATTGTTAAATTTTAGAAAAATATTCATATATTGGAAGATATATTCAAATATTAACCTTCTTAGCTTCGTTGTTTGTACCGCGAAGTTCCCATACACCTTGCTTCATTGGTAGTCTTTGTGTTTTCTTTTCTCCATCTTCTCCTAAATATTGGTTGCTTCTTGATTTTCGCACCGCCTTTGTTCGACTTTGAGAATACAATTCCCTGCCACCAGCAATCTCAATTATCCTTTAAAAAATATAAAAATATTTAGAAATTAAATCCAATCACTTTTTAATCCAATCACAAATCAGTCAGATTCAGTAGCAGGATCCAATGGTCACGTTGGATTTTTCAGCAAATTAGCGTTTTTCTTAAACTTTTTAGACAGGGAACAATGAAGCTAATATGGCTATAATTTGGCGCCACTTTCTTACCTTACATTTAGGTATTTCATGCCTGAATGAACTAGTTTGGTAAAATGCCGAGTTTAGGATGTACACACTTCTGAAACCTATATAAGGGTAATTATTTGGGACATCGTGAAATGAAACAGGCAAAAATTGGGAACTTCGCCCCAATTTTGGACAAAATAATGACAAACACCCATTGACAAAATGAAATCATGACAGGAATATTTAAGTAAGATTTACTTTCAAAAAAATATTTCTGACCTGAATCTCCAAAATAATTTCAATTGATGATGATTGATGTAAACGTTTAGTGGGCTCACACAATTATTGGCGAGCTTTTAAATCCTTAATCTAAAGTCAATATTGAACATATAAAATAGCCTTAGGAAATATTTGAACATTGTGTCGGGGCGAGAAGCCTTGACTGATTTGAGATTATTTTAGTAAGAATAACAAACCACACAAAATCAAGCAAAAAAAACAAAAAATTCTGCAACAAATAATTTAAACATTTAATAAGTATTACAAAAATACCTAGAGTCTCTTAATTTATAGGTTCCAGTAGAGGATATATGTTCTGATATACAATCATCATCTGGTGAGTACCGTGGAGAATTATTGTCTCTACTAACGTTACAGGAACTATCAGCCATCCACCTGTAACAGTTTAGATAATATTTGCAAAATGGAGAGTTCACCAAGATATTTTTATATACACACCATGTATCAGCAAAACAGAATATTTTATATTTAGGCAGTTATTGAAATGCCGAAATAAGTCAATCGTTTTTAATTATAGAGGAACCACCTAATGAGTAGTCAATTGTAAACGAACAAGTAGGTCAACATTCAAAATTATGTCAATTTCTATTTTCTCTTGTAGTAGACAATAAATATTTGACATATTATAGACCTAATTAATAAATTGTAAACTACTTTTTCAAATAACTTTTTCTGATTCCAAAGAATGCACATTTTAATTAGCTGCCATGCTGTTATATCACTCCCACTTCTATTGGTGTTGCCGCTTTTCTATCGCTTTTTACCCCTTTCGCCGCATCAAGAGTAATTCTGAGGTAAAGATTTTTTTTTTGCCGTCCTCTTGGGCAATTAAGGCCTAGGTCAAAATTGATTTCAAGACACTCGGACATGCAGAGACAATTCCCACCAAAAGTTTCTTTAAAAGCTAACAATGAAGACTGACAGTTATCATATTATCTAATCATAATTTGAAAATGTTCACTTCAATCAAAGTTTTGAGGAACTGGAAGGTGCAGCAGTCTGACCAACAAACATTTTATTCCAAGCCTAAGTTCACTGAGCCGTGCTGCAGTCTCATCCCAAGAGCTTATACTTTGAGACAATGTTTCGGCATGTCACTAACCAGTGTCAAAATATATATTGAATTTGTATTGAAATTGAAAAATGTATTGAATTTGTTCCATTTGACTGATACCGATGCTGATACACCTCATGATACACACTATCTTTATACAATAATAGTTTACAATTTCAGTGCATAGTGGCCTATACTTATACAGGCTTTTAAGCACCATGGAAACTGTCTAGCAGAAGCGAATGAGAAAATTGAATTGAAAAGTAGAGGGCAATTTATGGTGGCTTCAGGTGTCGGGAAAAGCTTTATTTGAACTTGATAGAAAAATATATAGCAAATCGGATTAAGTATGCCTGAAAGATATTTGAAAAGAAATAATTTTTATGTGTAAATTCACAATAAACAAAATCATAAAAATACTTGCTTATGTAAAGGAAAAACAAGAAGTTTTAGAATACCTATAAGCAAAATGAAAAAAGTTTCAATCCAATATCATGATTATTACTTATTTGTTTAAAAAATCCTTACATTTGTTGAATAGAAGGAAAATCAGTAAATATTTCATAAAATCGCTGTATATTGATTCATGCATATTTAGTTAAGAAATATTCAAATATTAAAATGAAACTGAAACCTAAAAATAATATACACTTAATGATGATTGAAGGAGGTGAAACATCTTCACAGAAAATAGCCATGACATGTCAATCATTCTATGAGAAAGAGGAAGGAAGATGACCCAGAAAGTATCATATTATTATAATTATAATAGAGTAGGTTGTGCTTGCTACTATACTAGCAAGTGTAAAAATCCAAAAGGACCAACCACAAAATACATTGAGAAATAGTTCCACTGAAATTGTGGATATTATTTTTTTATGACAATTTGAATTAGGTATAACAACAGCATTTTTCAATAATACTTATTGTGCAAAACGCCTGAATCACACAATTCCCACATAAAAAGTTCCAATTAGTTTAAATTGATTGCTATTAAAAAGTACTTTTTTGCATTTTTATAATATTGGCGCCTTAAAAATTGGTTAGTAAAGTGCTACTTTACTGCAGAAGATCACTTTACTGCCGGCGCCAGCTGTAAAACTTTTCAATAAATTTTGAGTGCGGTCCGTTTAAATTTTCTCAATAGGCTCGTTCAGTGAGGTTTCATTAACCACGTTTTCTGATATTTTTATGGAGTATTACTCACATATAGCACACAAAAAAAATTTCAGCGCAATTGGATAAATATTAAAAAAGTTATGCGGCTTTGAATAATAAAACATTATGCCTCAGAAATTCATTGCTTAGAGATGGTATGACGTCATCTCTCGAGTCAAGACGGGCTAAAGGCCGCCACACGACCAACGTGAGAGATGCAGTAACGTCACCACGTGTTTCAAAACTTCCAAATTTGGAGCTTTTTGATAATTTATTTAAATATGAACAAGGGCTCGGAAAATTATGAAATTTTGCACAACTGCTAAACTCAATACGCTCTTTTAGAATATGTAATAAAAAAAATATGCTGTACGAGCCTATTACTTAATATGTAGGCCTTTATCACCATTCACCAACCTTTTCCAAATGGGATTTGTGCTTTCAAAAAAATTTAAATAAATATGTTTTTATCCAAAGCTCAGCTTTATAGGTCAGGTTTTTGTTTATTTGTGTCATTCATCCAACATGCAAAGTTGCTTTAAATGAACAGGATAAAAACGAATCCAAAAATATAACTGTAGCAGATCTTGTATGGTACTTTGAATAATTTCATGCAAAAGAAATTAATTTTATATGGAATGAGATTTTTATCAAATAAAAACACATACAGTGCGATATTACTTAATATTATATGAAAAAGAGCCTTTATAAAACTAGGTGTTTTTATTAAGCTTTCAATATTTGGCCTCTGTTAGATTATATGATCTTCATTGTGTGGTTAGTAAGAGTAAGTATATTATTCTTTTGAAACATTGAACGAGTTTTTGAAGTACATATTGCATGACAGTATGGGATAAGTAAAACTAGGTAAAATCGGTACTGGGATTTTAAAGAAACAAGTTGCTCAATGATACTTTTGCAAATTTTAAGAATAGTGTGTTCTCGAGTGTGTTGCGACATAAGCGGAAACCTAAGACAATAAAAAAAACCCACATGTTGCTGATGGATGTTTCCAGGAATCTTGGCCCCTGCCAAAAACTCCGTCACAACCGAGGTCACAGCCCATTTTTTTTTCTTAAATCCTGAATTTGAAAAAGAAGCTCAGAAGTATTATTGTCGCTATTGCTGTGCAGTGACTAGTCACAAATATGCTTGTTCAGACAGATCATAGTGCTGTTTCCTTCCAGTTTGTTCTAGAAATGTCCAACCAAAAACCTGTTCAAAAACTGGGCATTTCTTTAGAAACGAATCAAGGAAAAGATCTTAAAGTTTTTGTAGCAGGCATCAGATTCGCAGTTGGGATATGAGAGTTCCAAAATTACTGATGAAGCAACTTTTCATGATATTCAGAAATTGCATCTTGGCTATGATGATGGAAATGTAGCAAAAACAGTTTTCTGCAATCTAATAATCAACCATAACATTCTGGGCTTGGTGATTTTTTTTATTTTAATCATATCCTCGATCATATCTTATGTGACAACCACAAATCATACAGTTTCTGGATAAGATAAATAAATAAATAAAAATAAATAAATAAATGAGGAACTGGTGCGAGTGTGACAAGCATAACATTCCTAGTGCAAGCATTGCATATTTCAAAGAGCATTTGAGCTAGATCAATAGTAGCTATTCTAATAAGTTCTTAAGTGTGGTTGGGGGTTCAGGGTGGAGGTTTGAGTGACACACCAAAAAAATTTGCAAAATGATTGATTCCCATTAGAAGTTGGGCAGAATATTAATTTTAAATTGTTGAGGATAGGAGCTAAGAATACCCTCGAGAATGCCTTACTGCACCCAAAATTTTCAATTTGAATTTGTGAATATGAGTATTTTAATCATAACAGTTGAAGTTAAGCTGAGTAGTTAATAATAGCATTTATTTTTCAGGGGTCATCGGCCATTTTTTTAAGAAGTTCAAAAAATTTAAACTTAACTGCTTTTCTATTATGTGTCACACATAATGTGGTTCACATCAATGTGATAAGTAGGTATAAATTTCACATCTACTTGAGCATCACCTGCATTGAAACTTAGTATTTATATGATTAGTAAAGTAGTTATGTAAATTTCTACCTTAAATTGATGTAGCTGTGTTTACTGGGAAGTAAGTACCTAAATTTAAATTTTTGAACAAATATAATTTACTGAAAAAAATTCAGATAGTATAATAAATATATACTTAATATAAAGTGGAGCCAATTTAGGTATTTCCGAGAGTATTTTCATTCAAACTGAGAGCTGAAAAAATAGCTGAACTGTAGCCAGACTCCTCTCTTAACATCCTGAGAAAGAGCGTCTTAAAAAAACTACATTAGCTACTATTACTTTCTGTTGGGGTTTTGCGAGGGTTTTTGAAGAAAATCTGAGAGAAAATTTATGCAGGAGAGTTTCATAATGATTTGGACATTTTTACTGTCAAGGAATGCTCTCTGAGAAATTTGTTGCGCTCATAGGATTTTTTTTTTCTTCTAGGTCTATGTTTGTAGGGATTTTGCTTATGATTACCTAAGGTGTTTGCAGAGTTATCAATAAATAAATAAATTAATAAGGTAGGAAGTGTTATTTCCATATAGTTTTATCAGATGTCAAAATCACAAACAAATTTGTAAAGTATAACATATAACTAAACTTGAATTGATGTGGAAATAATGTGGCCATGGGTATGTTATATAAGCTTAAAGCTTACCTAATTTCATAAAGGTTTTCAGGCTTATAGTATGAGAGCAACAATAATTATGAACTAAATTTGAAGTGATTTGTGTGAAGACAAGATCTGCTTACCTATCATTTTCATCTTGGACATTCATGACAGTGTTTGTTGTTGTATTTTCCGCAAACTCATAGTCCTTTGATGAAGCGACAATTGGATTTAAATTAATATCACTCCTGGGTTTACACTTCGGAAATAACTTACTAATTTGTTCACTATTTTCACTCACATCAATATTATCCAAAGGCAGAGTCAGGCTGGTCATTTCTAATTATATAGTTCCCATAGTAGGTATGCCTCTAGTCTTAAAAGCTGCACATATCAAATAAATTTTCAATTAGAATAACCATGTTCGAATTAGGATCAGCAATAATTATTATTTGCATGCAAAAAGTGTCCTATTTCTACTTTTTTAATTCATAAATGTATAATCCTAATTTATTCAAAACATCAAAATATGGGAAAAATGAAAAATGTTTTGTTTGGATTTTTATGTCAGTGTGTGTGTTGTGTGTTGTGTGTTTGTACAATTGTCACAGTGTTGCCAGATGACCAGAACCAAATTATGGTAGGTACAATGCTGTAGAAATTATCGTTTTTTTCATGATTTTTGGCAGTTTGCACCGACCATTTTAAGGAAGCCTTAGCGATAAGTATTCCTTAAAGTGACATTTCTCCATGTAGAAATGTCATTTTAAGAAATACTTATCGCTAAGGCTTCCTTAGGGCCAAATTTATAGTCGCTCCTTGAGGTTTCCTCAGACCTTAAGGAAGCCTTCCTTGAACGTTTAGAACTGCCATGAATAACTTGTCAAATAATAGCAAGCGTCCATTCTAAACTCACGACCTTCAAGGAAGAGCCAAGGAACAACTATAAATTCGGCCCTTAAAATGGTCGGTGCAAACGGCCATTTATCGTACAAAACTGACTTTACCAGTATGACGTCATCGGAGGCTGGTGGCCCCCTTAAATTGAAGGGGTTAAGTTGTATTTGCAAAATAATTTCAATAAAAAAACATTTAGAAAAAAAAAACGGCTCCGTCAAGTTAGCCCCCCCACATTCGAATTTTCTAAAAAAATTGCAACCACACTGTGCTCGAAGTGTGCTTTACTGTGCCGATGATATTTTGAACTGTGCCGTTTCGATAACAAAGTTATAGGAAAAAATAGATGAGGGGCTAACTTGACGCTCAGCCCCCCCAAAATTTTGGAAATCAAATTAAACAGAATTGAATTCTTATCCAATCTACAGTGTGCTGAACTGTGCTGTATCAGGTTTTTCTCAAAATTTCCATATTCGGTCATTTTCCGACAAAATCCTACTGAGGGGCTAACTATGGACGCTCAGCCCCCCCAAAATTTTGGAAATCAGATTAAACAAAATTGAATTCTTATCCAATCTGACGTGTGCTGAACTGTGCTGAATCAGGCTTTTCTCAAAATTTTCATATTCGGTTATTTTCCGACAAAATAATCATACTGGGGAGCGGGGAGCCAATTTAAAGCTCAGCCCCCAAAATTTTGAAAATTAGATTAAACAAAATTGAATTCTTTTCCAATCTGAAGTGTGCTGAACTGTGCTGTATCAGGCTTTTCTCAAAATTTCCATATTCGGTCATTTTCCGACAAAATCCTACTGGGGAGGTAACTTGACGCTCAGCCCCCCCAAAAAATTTCGAAAATCAGTTTGAACAAAATTGTATTCTTATCCAATCTGAAGTGTACCTACTGAACTCTGCTGTATCAGGTTTTCTCAAAACTTACATACTTTTCGGTTATTTTCCGACAAAATCCTACAAGCTAACTTGACGTTCAGCTCTGAGAATTTACATACATATCATCCATTAGGTTTATATCGGGAAATGGCCAAACATGGAAACTTGGAATAACCTGATCAGGCACAATTCAGCTCAGTCCGTTTTCCTTTGATCTGATTTCTAAAATTTGGCATCAACTTAGCTAAGTATTTTGTCGGAAAATGAGCGAATATGGAAATTTCGAGAAAAACCTGGTACAACACAGTTCAGCACACTTCAGATTGGATGAGAATTCAGTTTTGTGCAAACTGATTTTCGAAATTTTGGAGGGGGGTGATCGTCAATTTAGCCCTCCAGTAGGATTTTGTCGGAAAATGACCGAATATGGAAATTTTCAGAAAAACCTGATACAGCACAGTTCAGCACACTTCGAATTGGATAAGAATTCAATTTTATTTAAACTGATTTTCGAAATTTTTGGGGGGCTGAGTGTCAATAAGTTAGCCCTCCAGTAGGATTTTGTCGGAAAATGACCGAATATGGAGATTTTCGGAAAAACCTGATACAACACAGTTCAGCACACTTCAGATTAGATAAGAATTCAATTTTGTTTAATCTGATTTCCAAAATTTTGGGGGGGCTGGAGCGTCAAGTTAGCCCCCCAGTAGGATTTTGTCGGAAAATGACCGAATATGGAAATTTTCAGAAAAACCTGATACAGCACAGTTCAGCACACTTCAAATTGGATAAGAATCCTTTTTGGTTTTATCTGATTTCCAAAATTTTGGGGGGGCTGAGCGTCAAGTTAGCCCCTCATCTATTTTTTCCTATAACTTTGTTATCGAAACAGCACAGTTCAAAATATCATCGGCACAGTAGAGTACACTTCGAGCACAGTAAGTGGTAGCAATTTTTTTTAGAAAATTCGAATGTGGGGGGCTAACTTGACGCAGCTGAGAAAAACTACTCATTTCTGTTATCCCCTACCCCTTGCAATAATTCAGGCACTGGAAAAAAGAGCTGGTATTTCAATTTTTGATGGACCTCCAGCGATTTCAATGTGACTTTTTCAAAATTTATCAACATTCAGAAATTATCTCCATATCACGGCCTCCTATCGATCGTACATCGTACCTTCTTGTAATTATCGTACAAATACGATAATTATCGTACGTCTGGCAACACTGGTTTGTCATCCTGTCAGCAGGCATCTAGTAGGCGATTTCGTCTCTTTTTTACCCCAGTTTCGGATAGGAAAATGATGACGTCACGGCAACTTTGGTATTGAGCTCTTTGGTCTGTCAGGTGCTATAACCGCGGTTTAACGGTATAACTATTTCGGTAGTGGAGATTTTGTAGCTTTCTGTGTGTACATTTTCTGACATCAACGCATTTTGAATATTAGAAAGTTCTCGCGCCTCACACGATATGCTAATACGGTACCGCTAACAATACGGTATTTCACATGGTATTTTAGAGTTCTCGGACACGAAGACACATAAATCCTCTAATCCGTTATTCTGTTTACATTTTGTCAACTGATTTGAGTGATTTACCCAACTTTTTTTTGCTTGTTTTCTAACTTTTATTTATCCTGAAGATTCCTGAGTGTGATTAATGTTCTCTTGGTGTTTCTTATGGAGGAATTATTAGAAGGTGACTTGGTACCACCGAGCGTTACAGATCGCAAATCGCTCCCAAAATTATTTCACAAACCGACATCGTACAGGTTCCAAAAGAAAAAAGCGCGGTTAAGAGATCACTGAAATTTCCGAAAGGCCAAAAGCGAAAAGACTTAAAATATATGCAGAAAAGGGGCTTTTAAAAGTAGGATCAGTAAACTCGGTTCCGTCATTCGATCGATAGCAATTTGCGATCAAGTAACTGAATTTCCCTTCACTCAGCACAGCATCCTGCCAGTCGAACGGAACGCAGCTGCTGTCAAATTTCTGACATAAACAAGTTGTAATTTTTTAAAAAATGTCAATTAACAACTGTCAACTGTCAACTCACAACAAATTCAAACTTATTTTTTTTTTAACTACTTTTTTGAATAACGATCACCGTTTCCCAACAACATGCGATTTGTATATTTTTATGATCATCTAATCTAACAAAAACATCAATTTTCGTCCTCGGATTGAACGAATAATGTAAATAAAATTCAAATTTCAATAACAACTTGTTGATAATATGGAATCATGCAAGGACTCGCCTAAGGAGGTACATTTAATATTTAATCACATTATTATAGCTATACTGATCAATTATTTTTATGCAGAAGAGATTCCTTATATATTATTATTATAAATAGTTGTTTTCGGCATATCCTTTTATTATCTTATGCCTATTTCAGCTAGATATACAAAAAAACAACAACCCGAATTATTTATTAGAAGAAATTGAATATACATCTCCAACAGACCAAGCAAAAATCCATGTGGCATTGCCTGAAGACTCGCCTGAGAATGAGGTACATTTCATATTTGATCATAATAAATATCTATAACTATATTGATCAATAGTAATTCATCACAAATCTGAAATTCAGTGAGTCGACAAAGAGTTGGAAGGGCATTTTAATTATTCTTCGCAAATGGTTAGAAACTTTCAAAAACTGAATAAGCTTCACCACAATTAATAGAGCTTTGACATCTACATTTTCTCTAGGTGCTTGTCTTTGCAGAACTATAGCTACTCTAATACCAGTAATACCTAATTCAGGGTTGGAATTTTTTTTTTAGGTTTTTAGGTTTTTTGAGGTTTTTGGGGTATTTTAGGTTTTTTAAGGTTTGTTAAGGTTTTTTAGGTTTTTTTAGTACTTACCTAACAGTTGTAACACATTATTGGTGATGTAGGTATGTTAAATTATTCACATAATGATAGCTAAACCAATGAATAAAACAAAGATATAGAATTTTGGAAAGAAGTAGTTAACAATATTAGGTAAATAGTGTGGTGGTAAGTGTTTTTTTCCTTTTTTTTTTTTCAAAAAACCTAAAAAACCTAAAATGCCCATATTTAGAAAATAGGTTTTTTGGAAAAACCTAAAAAACCTAGGTTTCAAAAAACCTATACCTGCCAACCTATAGAATCACATATGAGAATGGTATAATTGATTTTTTTTTCTACATTATTAATGACTAGAAATGTTGGAATAAAAATATCCAGTCTCTGGCTAGAAAGTTGAAGGTTACAAGTATACTTGTACATCCCCAGAAAACTCATGGCTGAAACATTCCTCGATCATTCCAAAACTTTTTCTAGTTTTGTAAACTAAATTTTCCAGAGGATTACCCCTGAACCTCAAAAAATACGAACCTGAACTCTATACTATACTATATCCACCAGCTGGTGTATAATCATGGGCATTTTGCGGGCCTGGAGCGTGTTGTGAATACAGCTCTTGAAAAATATTCAAAGTGGTTTTTGTGCAATAAAGTGGGGCCTAAAATTTCCTCGCAAATTTCATATTTTTCAAACAAACAAAAAAAATATCACAAGATCCAGTGATAAAAGTAAATAATATTTCAATTGAAAAAGTAACACACACTAAATATGTACTTGGGCTCATTGAACATAAAAATTTAAATTGGAGGGAGCACATAATGCATGTAACTGGTAAAATCATTCCAATAAAGCTAGGCATAGAGTTTGAAACTGATTAACATAACTCGATTTTATTATATACAGGGTGACATTTTAAAAACTTACAATGGCTAAATCTCAGGAACCAAAAAAAAATATGGAAAATCGCTGAAAATAATTTCTATAGTAGGGAGGGGGAAACAAAATTATGTAATAACTAACTTTTTTTCACTCACCCCCAGCCACCGCAACTAAATCTCAAATAGCAACCCCCTACTTCTGATACCTTATCTAAAAACTCCTAAAAAATGCTTTTCAATGGTACCCTACAAGCTAGGATTCGATGTGATTATTTTTGGTTTATAGGGTAAATAAAACTTCCTTCATTTAAATTAAAATTGTATTTTTTTAGACTTGTCAATTTTTTCAGGTTCCCAAAACAACGAATAAACAAAAAATAATACAAGGCTAGAATGTTTAAGCCTCAAGATTAATGCTACGATAGTAAAAAAAATTTTTTAAATGTTTATTAAATTAATACTCAAAAATTCAATTCACAAAATTCAATTCACATTTCAATGGTTTTATTTTGAAAATTATTGACAATTATTACATCGAATCCTAGCTTGTAGGGTACCATTGAAAACAATTTTTTAAGAGCTTTCAGATAAGGTATCACAAGTAGGGGGTTGTCATTTAAGAATATTAGGTTGGGGTGGCTGGGGGTGAGTGAAAATAAGTTAGTTATTACATAATTTTGTTTCCCTTTCCCTACTATATAAATTGTTTTCAGCGATTTTTTATATTTTTTTTGGTTCCTGAGATATAGCCATTGTAAGTTTTTAAAATGTCACCCTGTATTATAATTTGGTTAAGGTTACACACTTCACAAAATAAACATACTTGAGATTTTATTCTGCATTGGAGTACATTCATATCTACTAAATCTCAGTGAAACATACTTTGGTTTTGGTACCAAAGATGAATTAACAAATATCTTATATTATTTGTTCCAATGGTTTTATTCTCTAACACCTATTACAGCCAGAAGAACTGGAAAATCAATCTTCAATAGATGCTGCAGAAATCCATGCAGAACATGAAGAAATTGCAGAACTTGCTAGTAAGTAAATGCTATTGAAAAACCAAATACTTTTCTTTTTTAACTTATAACTTTAGCAAACTATCAAAACGCCATTGGTGGTATAAACAATGCTTGCGCGTATTTAAATGAAGAAATCGAACCTCGCTTGATACAAGGCTCTTCCTCTGCTACCTTATATTTAGGAAAGGAAGCCGGCACACTACTTGGGTCGTTGAAAACCATGAGTGAAAAACTTCTGAAAAAAAACTTCAATTACGAAGGCATAGAGGTAGTTAACTGTTCGCCAAGTCAGTTGAACCAATTCATGGTTATTTATCATTTATCTTTTTAGAGAAATCTTGGAAAAGCTAGATTTGATATGTCAAGACGCTCACAACAGCTAGAGAGTTTGACTGCAATCCTGGAACATAATTTGGAGAGTCTGCAATCTGTTATGGAGTATTGCTCAAGGGATTCCGAGGAATCTGTTGAAAGAATACAAACACCACAGAAAAATTACTCTACTAACACAGCTTCAGGTAAAGTTATTAAGGGACTCATTCATCCAACAAATTTAAATACTCGGTAAATGTGTACCATTTATTCTTATTTTCATTAATAATAAACTAGTTAAAATGATTCAAACTGAACCCTGCTCTATTTTGATAGAAAATCTGATGAATGCAAGTCAACAAAAAACTTGTATAGGTATATGATCAAATATACAATATGTATATAAATCACTTTTTTCTATGCAACTTGGTGAAAAATTCTGAGAAACTAAAAGCTGCTTTACAGTAAAAGTTGACATTAAAATAATTAAAAAAGGCTCCAAAACGATAGTCTTTTCAATAATAATTGTTTCTATTTCAGATATATCAAGCTTTAAGTCCACAGACATTGTTACTTCTTCACCATTCAATTCGTTTGACCGAATTGATGAGGGACCCTACTAGAAGTGATTCTTCAGTTATTGTTGATTAGTGGCATTAATATTGGTGAGAACACTTACTAAACTGATTTTTTTTAAAAATCTCATTATGGTGTAAGTGAATAAATTTTTTTATTTTCTTATAATTTGTGTTTTTGTTTTGAAATTGGCTTTAAAAAACTCGGAAAGACTCCACCCAGCACAAAGAACAGAAGCTGTATTTGTAAAATGCTGGAACCATCAAATTAAATTTAAATCTAATACATATATACAGGTCTCAAAAAGATACCGACAAACTTTAAAGGGTAGTAAGGGACATCAAAACAAGCATTTTTGTTTATATAAACACGTATCCACCCAAATGGCTCATTTGCGGACATGTTTATATAAACAAAAATGCTTGTTTTGATGTCCCTTACTACCCTTTAAAGTTTGTCGGTATCTTTTTGGGACACCCTGTATAATTCTGGTGTGTAATTAGCCAGGTGCTAAATAAAGGATTAATACAGTTTGTAACAATACTTCTCTAAAATGGCTTGACCGATTTTTATGAAATTTTATATGTATATTCGGTAGGTCTGGGAATCAGTCGTAATCTGTTTTTTATACCCCTAAGTGATAAGGGTGGTCCACCCCAATTTTTTTTTTTTTGGACAACATTTTTTATTTGTATGTTTTTATGATGTGGTATCAAAAAATACACACAACCCTAAATTTTTACCCTTCTACCACCAACCCCTATTTTTTAATAGCGATATTTGCTGACCTGGGCACTGTTCTTTTCAATATAGTTGCGTTAATTATCTACTAATAAAGCTGAAAATGTTTCAGTCGATCTGAAACCCTACCTGTGTGTTGGGATTGTTGAGAATTGGGATTGGGAATGACACATAACTAGCGGGGAATCCCACAGACAACAGTCACAAAGTCTATGTAGCATAGCGCACGGATTTCGTACGAATTACAAATCTGCACGCAGCATGATTACAGATTTCTGTAAATTTTGAAGGATTTTATAATTTCACCGCTACTCGCTAGACCTTGTTCTTGCGGATTCAGTCTGAGGATAGTGGAGCGTGAGAAAAAAAAAGTATCCAGAGTATCCAAGCATTTAAAAATAAAGTATCGGATACTTCAAATTTAGCAAAGATCACTGAGTGAGCCACAGCAACGCGTGGCCGGGTCAGATAGTAAATTTATAAAAAAATTGATCTTTCATTTCAATATGAAGCAAAAAAGTCCAGAAGCCTATCACGGAGCTTAGCTTTATATTAACTTTTGATTAGCAACATCAAAAGCTCCAGAGAAAAAAAAGAAAAGAGAAGCAATGACCAACGACAGTTTCCTATCCACAGCATTCACTATTCATACTTAAAAATCACACATTGCTGCCTATGTACCTTTTTTTGCTGGTACAGCCATACTTGTTTATGAAGAGACTTCCAACACATCACCCAGAAAATGTTTAAATTTTTGTTGATTGAGAATTCATCATAGCCCGTCCAATAAGACTTCAGGGAAAATTGGGCAATACTTTCTTGCATAAAAATCGCAATCAGAGGTATAGTCTGTATAAAATAAGATTGTTAGGTAAAATGTTTTCACTTCTTTCCAATAAAGTTCATTTTGTGAGATTTTTCTCTACAAATGTCAAGTTACACAGTTTTTTCAAGATTAGTTTAGATAAGTTGGCGTTGGGGATATAAAGGTGATAAGCAGATATTATTTATCGATCTGTGTCATTAGTTGCCGTTAGTTTGTTGCCAGTCAAAGACAAACTTGATTTTTCTCGGTTGACCTATATATTGTTGCTACTTTCAGAGTTTCGATCCTTTGCGAAATTTTTCTCTAGGAATGTCAAGTCACAGAGTTTTTTCAAGCTCTTGCTAATATTTGAGAAAAATGTCGCTGAACCTTTCTCATGTTATCCAGTAATAAAGATGTAACTCGTAGTGGGATGAGTTATGCGAGCTAAAGGCAAAAAAAAAATTGTTAAAAGTTTTAGCCAGACACGTAAATCCGGTAGGTGTCTTTTTCCAAAATGCTGCATTTAACGTAGGTTATTGCAGAAGAAATTTGTTTCACTCAAATTTGAGCTGATACCTACGTTTTCTAACTGAACTACCGGAAATCGGAAATACACATGCTGAAGCTGAAATAGAACAATTTTGGTTTGAAATTTTTAAAATATGTATCGGTTTTATCACTGCACCGAAAATGGATGAATCGGCTAGTAAATAAAATAATATGTGGGTAATTAATTTCAAAGATATTAAAAGAAAGAACCTTTGATTTGCCCAACAGGAAAGAAAATTGATTAGAGTAGTTTAGCAAGAAAAACTTATTAGTTCAAAGTTGAGTAAAACAGATTTTTTTTTGAGATATAGTTACTTTTCCCAAATACAGGGTTTCCCTTATGAGGATTTTCATTACAAAACTTCGAAAGTTACTTTCTAGCTTAAAATGAGCTTCTACAAAAAAAAATATGGTGTGGCTATGTAGATTAAGTAGGTACACACTAATAAAAAACATGCATTATAATACTATGGTCGGTTCCCTCTAATCGAAATTTCATTCCATTGTAACACATTGTAGGGTAAACGACCCCCCAAAAAAACACATCAACCTCGGTTTTGTCAATTAGTCATTATTATACCTACACATACCTCTACACTCTGAAAAAAAAACTTGCAGAATTCACGCAATCTAAATCTAAAGCCACACTAGGCAAAGTCTCATTTTTTTTTAAAACGAAAATGTGGGAAAAAATAAAAACCCAGATACCTATTTATCAAAAAATTAGCAAATATGGTGTTCATTTAAACTCTCTAGGGAACAAAACTTAGTAATGCAAAAATATACTTTTTTAAGTAATTAAATAAAGATAATATTTACAGAAAGCTCTAACTGACGCTAAGAAAAAATGCACGAAAAATTAATTTTTGAATACGTACCACTCACTACAATATAATTGCTGATAACTTTTGTATAAAATATTTCTTATTTGATGCGAATTGTAAAATCACACTAACCAACAAGTACATTATGTTGGAGCAAATCAATATCCATAAATTTATCTGGTACTAGAATTAAACATGTAAAACTTGAATTTAATCTTACTATCTTTATAGCAAATCACACATATAACCCCGGATTAGGAATTGATATATTTCCCGAAAACTCTCGATTCATTCTAAATTACAATTCACCGAAATATGTACCTACTATAGGAATATTACACGTTATACTAGTCATGTCCACCCAAAATCAATATCCAACAGCAAACTATAGGAAGGTTGCTATAACTTAGAATTTCAACAAAAATTCAACTTTGAATTGAGCCCGACACGAATACCGATGATGCATGCGAATTATACGGGCGTTTTATTTGATAAAAAAAATAGTTTTAAATTTACAAGTGAATTTTCAAAAAACCAGACGCCATGCGTCGATTTTCGCGACGCCGCAATCTGCCCTCTACTGTAACGTGCCCTTCGTGAAGGCATGCTTACCAGTGCCGTGCGGAAAAATCTAATAGGGCCCTGCTTGATAACGGGCAGTCTAATCGAAGTAAAGTATCGAGCAAACAATTGTGAGTAATTTTAGTTGCGGTTTTATTTTTAAAACTGGGGATGTAGGCGCTCCCTATGATATTCTTTTTCAGCAAAATGTACAATATTTTGTTATAAATTTTTCATTATAAGCTAAGACATCAATTTGCTTGGGTTAATACCCTGAATAACTAGTTTAAATAAAAAATATCCTTCAGAGGCAACAATTAAATACTTTTTAATTTAAGCATAATACAGGATGTTTGGTTCATCGATAGAAAGTTTTCAATGAGTGATAGTTGAGGTCATTTGGAAGTTGTTTGACCATATTTACCCTCATGCAAATTTTCGCAGTTTTTTGAGATATCGCCATTTTTATGTATTTTGAATCCATGTATCACATAACTTGGGCTACATATTTCTGGTATCAATCATTTGGTTTTTCAAACCGTATTGTTTTGAAAGAGTGGATATTAAGGCCCCCACAGACTGCGGTTTTGTTTGACGGTTTTGTTCGACGAGCAAATCGGGTCGAGCAAAAAGGACGGATCGCAGTTGCACACAGACCTCGGTTTAGTATGGCGAACATCAGTCATTGGAAAGTTTTTTTTTTTTTTTAAATTTTGATAATGTCAAATTATGTAGCTACGCATCACACAAAACCGTCGTTTTTAAAATTCGTTGCCCACACACTTCAGATTTGTTGTATATCGAACATATCCGACGCACAAAATCAGGCGAAGCTAGATATTTGCCTCGGTTTTGTATGCCAGCAAAAACGACAATTTTTCGCGCACACACTTCGGTTATGCGTCATTTTTGCTCGACCAGATTTGCTCGTCGAACAAATCCTTCCAACAAAAACGCAGTCTGTGGGGCCCTTTAGGGATATCGGAAAAAAAAATTGAGAAAAGTTAAAGTGTTTACTACCAAAAAGAAACAATATGTTCTAGGAACAATTCAAATATTACCCAAATATATGTATGTATGTATATCTAAAAATGCCGATATCTCAAAAACGACGAAACTTTGCATGAGGGTAAATATGGTCAAACAGCTTCCAAATGACCCCAACTATGATTCTTTGAAAACTTTCTATCGGTGTACCAAACACCTTGTATATTTGTGAGGGCCAGGTTAGGGCCAAATTACTTGTGCGGGGATCTTTCCGGTTAGTGGTAGGTAAATACATAAGAAAAAAACAATTTTTATTTTTAGGATTTTTATTTTTTATCAACCTTGTACATGACCCAAATAAAATAACTTTTAGCGTTGATTGAGCGAGTTTAGGAAGATACGCAAACACCGTGCATTAAATCGTGACACCGCTTGGTTCCATTCCCCTCACGTTTCAGGTACTGTAGGGTGGAGCCGCTTTGCGGGAAACATATAAAACAGCTGTCAGCGTCGATCCATTTAATTTTAATTTATCGAAAAGTGTATCAATTGTATTTATTAAATTTTGGGACAGATTTCGACAGAATTCGCCAGATGGTCTTTTTATACTTGAAACATATGTATGTAATTTGATTTGGCAAAATTCTCGTAAAAAAAAAATATTTTTCATCAACTATTTCAATTTCGTCTTTTAATAAGAAATCTTCACAATTATTTTCACAATCATAACTTTTCAATAGAAAATGGGCAAAATATCCAGCAACATAAAGATTTGTAAATTTTCTAAGCTCACTATAACTGATTTATTTCTGAACAATTTTTTTCGCTATCATCCAAATCTAATGATTCTTGGGGGTCTTCTTCGCAATTACCAGTGTCCAATGTTTTTTGTAACCTTATGTTAATATCGTCTGCAACGGAATTCTAAACTGATGCACATGGTGTATCCTGGTTAAGATGACTGAGGTATTTAGAATTAAATGATTCTCCTAGATATTCTCATGAACTAAGAATGGACGTAAGTGTCCAAATAAATCTATCAATACAGTAAATATTGATTTCTTTTGTGTCCATTTTCATCAGAAACTTCAAGGGATTTAAAATATTCAAGTCCAAACTTAAAATTACCTAATGATGTTGGAGTTTTTTTAGAAAGAGTTTCAAATTGGACGCGAAAAAGAATAACCACCAGTTTCCACCTGAGACGGCTCCGGATTGCTTCAACCGATCAACTGAAAACTGACAGTGTTGCTTACGATCTTTGCTGCAAGCGACTAAAAGCGGGCAGCGTCTAGATAATCTCGGACACTCTCGCTGGGGGCGACGGTGTCACCAGCTACATCTTGGACACATTTTCAGTCAAGATTTTGTCCATAGGGTTGTGCATCTTCCCAAACCCCCTCAATCAACGCTTTCAGTCATAGTGACTGTCAGGGCGCTATAGTTCTTAATGATATTGTCACAAGTAGAAATGATTGATTAATACATAATGGAGTCTAGATGATTGACCTCATCAGGGGGTCTATTTACTGGCGCCACAAGAAAAAGGTACCCATTCCTGAAACAATATATATTTTTATAATTTATCAATATAAAAGCAAGGGATATTTATAAAAAAAAAATACGATTTTATCAGAACTGCAGGGTTTTCATCTTAATCAGATGGGTGTGATATTATCATCATTTAAAACATTAGATGTGGCTTTATAAAGCAATACTCAATTATCCAATTGGCCAGTTTATTGAATGATATAAATAATGCATTTTATTATGGGCATAATATACCAAGGACTTACCTGTCAGAAATCGAAATGCATTACTTTTGCTTGTTGGGTTTCTGGAATGGCAATTTTCTAAGGAAATCTGTTTGGTGTTGTGCTTCTTTAGTCAGGTCTAATTCATCTTATTCCTGATTTTATATGACCAGTGCTCATTCCATGGAACATTGTAACAGGAAAAAGGGCAGTAACCTGTAACAATATATTTTTTCTATTTAATAGCGTAAATGCGAATCTAAAGGTGCTGATAATTTATTTTAATTTAATCAGCACTGCAGGGGTGTCATCTCGATTCAGATGGTTTAAAACATAACATTATGTATCTATGTATTTTATATCAAATTTTCATCTAGTCTTGGATAAATTAAAAATTCTTTAGGTTTTTGAATAATACAAGAAAGAAATTGATATGTAATATATTCAAATTATAATAAATACATATAACTACTGAACACTCACCTCTTTTAATGTGAATTAATAAAGTTTGACTTTAGCCCCCGGAAAGGCAATTTACGAGGAAAAGGCGTCTCGAGTGTAGGTAGGCCTAGGCTGGGGAAGTAATTGCTAAGGAATCAATGGATAAGGGAATCACTTTTTCAGCCTAGGCCGGGAAATACACTTATAATGTAAAATGCAGGTAGTGGTTTGACATTTCTAGAACTCATATTGTGGAACGTTGTCATGAAAATGCCGAAATTATCTCTGAAACAATAAGAAAAATTAAATTATTACTGTAAAAGCAATTAAAGCAAACCTATATTATCAATTAGGATTGATTTTATCAGAACTGCAGGGATTTCATCTTCATTCAGATGAGTGTGGTATTATCATCATTTAGACATAATATATATTTTACATCAAAATTTGTTGATGTATTTATACAGCATATAGTTAACCAATTGACATAGGTATCAAATTAAATAATGCATTTCATTATGGTTCTATAGAATATAATAGAATAGAATAGATGTTTATTTCCAAAGATCACATACAGGATATAGGAAAATATTTACAGATAAAATTTACATTACATACTAATTAATAACATAACATTAAAAAAAATTATATGTTCAACAATAAGCATACAAATAATTTATTACTAGAATTTTTATGAAATATCCATAAATTCCACTGTGTAAAGTTTAGAAACTCCTCCACTCTATAAAATGCATTATCCAATAAAATATTTTTAATAAAACATAGGAACTGATTTTGGTTTAAATGACATTTCCTAATAGGTATCAAAATTGCCCCTATGTAGTAAGGACTTGCTTTGTGAAGCTCAAGACAGTGAACGTCATACTGATAATCATGTCCAAATCTAGTGGTTAATCATGATGTAAATTTAGAGCTTAAAAAGCATTTGAGTTACCTATCCCTTAAAAATTTGAAAATTTCGAAGATGTATAAACAAGGCATAGTCATGATTTCTTCAGAAATAAATTTTGGTCTACAAGATTCCCTAAACATCATATTATACATTAATCGAATAGCCCTTTTTTGAATTACAAAGACTCTCTGTGAAGCAGAGGATGCACCCCAAAGAACAATCCCATATCTAATACATGATTTAATAATTGAAAAATAAAACGTTTTCACAGTGCTTCTACTTGTTATTTTAGACAGACGATATAAAGCAAAACAACTCTGCACACTTATTGCATCTATAATTTATCTAATCTCTCCAGTTTAATGAAATGTCAACATGGATACCCAAAAGTTTTACAGTACTAACCTGCGTTATTGATCTGCCATTCAAAAGAATGTATTGACTTTTATTGTAATTTGCCTCATAAGGATGAAATTGCATTGTGTAAAGTCTTTGCCTGGTTAAGCCCCAGTTTTTATTACCGAAATAACTAGATAAAAATGCAGGTTATCTGTCAATTTTTTTTTTTTTTCATAATTTGTTCATTGAGATCAGAGGACAAAGTGTAATGTCATCAGCAAATTCACAATCTAAAGTTGTTAAGACATCTGATATCATTTACATACATGAGAAAAAGGAGTGTACCCTGTGGTACACCAACCTCGACACTTAACCGGTCAGACATATCATATAGATACTGAAAACTTAAGTGTCAGCAATGAATTAGGCTATGGTTAATAATAGGTATGTTGTAATTAGAGATTTTTATTTATTTATTTATTTAAAACTCGTACAAACACTATAAATAGTAATTACATGTAGGAGTGCTTACTGCGTATGAGAGAGAAAAAACAACAAAATTAAAAATACTAACAACTTACACACTAAAAATAACATAATAATACTAAACACAGAATGACATAATCACAGACATAATTAGAACATATATATAGGTACGAACTATCCACCTTAAGTTATAGATATTTGGGTTACGCCTGAATATTGTTTTCTACGGTGAGAATTTTAAGCACGATACTAGTCAGATGAAGCTGCTAATCTGAAAAACATACTTTTTAATCAATAGGCCATTGTTCTCTTCGTTTCGAGGTTCGTTTATAAGCCATAACCCGATCGAATAGCCAGTGGTTTAGGTTTTACTGCTTCTAGCGGTCGCCGATCAGCTGGGTGTCCAATAGCGACCACTGTTGCCGGGTTTGGTAAATTATTTTATGATAGG